GCCTGCTCAGGTAGCTGCTTCTGGTCAAGTGTCCGCGTCAGGTCAGGTAGCCGCTCCCTGTTTGTGTCGCCTCCTGTCGCACCAGACTCTCTTTTGGCACCACCGCCTTTGTCACCCCTCCCTGCCACGCCTCCGTGGCATGCACTCCCGCCTCCTTGTTTCTGGTCTTCCCAGGTCTCTGCCTCCCCTCCCACCCTCGCCTGCCCCACCCTGCCTTCCTTGCGTCGAGGGGCGGTAGCGCGCCGCTCCTCACTCCTCCTCGTTTCCCCCGACGACTGCTCCCTTGCAGACTCTCCACATGGACGTGTGGGGCCCAGCCCGCGTCAGTGGACAGGGCCGCGAGCGCTACTTTCTGATGGTTGTTGACGACTACTCGCGTTACACCACGGTCTTCCCCTTGCGCAGCAAGGGGGAGGTCCCTGATGTCTTGATCCCTTGGATCCGCGCTGTCCGTCTCCAGCTCCGCGAGCGGTTCCGCCAGGACCTTCCTGTCCTGCGTCTGCACTCTGACAGAGGTGGTGAGTTCTGCTCCGACCTCTTACGGGACTTTTGTCGTGGGGAGGGCATCCGCCAGTCGTTCACGCTTCCGGCCTCTCCGCAGCAGAATGGGGTTGCTGAGCGCCGCATTGGCTTAGTCATGGAGGTGGCTCGTACCTCCATGATCCATGCGGTTGCTCCCCATTTTCTGTGGCCGTTTGCAGTCCGGTACGCTGCGCATCAGCTCAACCTCTGGCCCCGTGTCTCCTTGCCGGAGACCTCGCCTACACTGTGTTGGACGGGGGAGGTTGGCGATGCGTCGGTGTTCTGGGTCTGGGGCTCTCGTGCCTTTGTCCGCGATACTTCCGTGGACAAGCTCTCCTCCCGCGCCATTCCCTGTGTCTTCCTTGGCTTTCCCCCTGACGCGCCTGGCTGGCAGTTTTACCACCCCACCTCGCGCCGTGTCCTGCCCTCTCAGGACGTCACCTTTGACGAGTCGGTTCCCTTTTACCGTCTCTTCCCCTACCGCGCTGCCCCTCTCCCCCCCCGCCGCCGCTCTTCCTTGCTACAGGTCCCTCTCCGGTAGACCCCGTCCCCCCTCAGGGTCCTTCTCCCTCAGGTGTGTCTCAGGTAGACCCACTCCCCTTGGCTGAGCTTGTTGAGGTCACTGTAGACTCTGGTGCTGCTGGAGGTGGTGCTGCTAGGGGTGCTGCGTCTGGGGGTGCTGAGCCTGCGGGTGCGGAGCCAGAGGGTGCTGAGCCTGAGAGTGCGGAGCCTGGGGGTGCTGAGCCTGAGGGTGCAGAGTCTGGGGGTGCTGAGCCTGAGAGTGCGGAGCCTGGGGGTGCTGAGCCTGAGGGTGCGGAGCCTGGGGTTGCTGAGTCTGAGAGTGCGGAGCCTGGGGGTGCTGAGCCAGAGGGTACTGAGTCTGGGGGTGCTGAGCCTAGGGGTACTGTATCTGCCGGATGTTCTGCGGTTGCCTCGCCACTGCAGTCTCGCCGGCGGGAGCCTCTCTCACCGCGGCAGCTGCGCGAGTGGTTTGCTTGGTGCACACGCCTTAGGAGTGGCGCTGCTTTAGCTGGAGGCCCCGCCGCTGGAGGCACTGGAGCTGGAGGCGCTGGAGCTACTAGTCCTGGAGGTGCTGGAGTTACTGCTGGTGCTGGAGGCGCTGGAGCTGGAGGTACCGGAGGTGCTGGAGCTGCTGGTCCTGGAGGTGCTCGTACTGGAGGTACTGGAGCTGCCGGAGCTGGTGGTGTTGGAGGCGCTGGAGCTGGAGACCCTGGCGCTGGAGGCGCTGGAGCTGGAGGCGCTGGAGCTGGAGGCACCGGAGCTGGAGGTACCGGAGGTGCTGGAGCTGCTGGTCCTGGAGGTGCTCGTACTAGAGGTACTGGAGCTGCCGGAGCTGGTGGTATTGGAGGCGCTGGAGCTGGAGACCCTGGAGCTGGAGGCGCTGGAGCTGGAGGCACTGGAGCTGGAGACCCTGGAGCTGGAGGCGCTGGAGCTGGAGGCGCTGGAGCTGGAGGCCCAGGAGCTGGAGGCGCTGGAGCTGGAGACGCTGGAGCTGGAGGTGCTGGCACTGGGGGTGCTGGAGCTGGCGGTACTGGTGCTGGAGGCACTGTGCAGCGGCGACCGTTTTTCGTTCCGACGTCGCCGTCGTCTCTGCCGCCACCTGGCTCTTCGCCAACTTCTTAGTCTCCTGTCTTCTACTGGCCTTACTCCTCCCTTACTGTGTCCACCGCCTGACCAGTCGCAGCCACAGTTACAGAAAGACTCCCCACTGCCTGCTCCTTCTCCTTACACTGAGCACACAGGCTCTCTTACAGAGCGACGTGAGCCTGCGTCTCGTCTTGCCTCGCCTGTTCGCGCTGTTCGCACTGGTCGTCGTGTTCCTCGTTCGCGTCCTCTACCTGTCCCCGGCACTCACATTATGGCACTTCGTCCTTCCTCTGTTCCACTGCAAGTTCCCCTGCCGTCCCCTCCGGCGTCCTCTCTTCCTGGCGTTCCGGACCCTGAGTCTGACTTGGTTCGTGCTGCCAGTCCTACTGTCACACGTCTTCTAGCCACTGTTGTCACTGACCCTTCGTTTGAGTCCACTGCTGCGTCTGCCCTAGTTGCTGAGCTTGTTGACTTTGCTGTCGCCTGTCGTCTCGACTACGCCGCTAGTCTTGTTGCCGAGTCTGAGTCTGCCTGTCCTCCGTCCGTCGGGGGTGAGTGTGCTCTTGGCACGGACGTCCTTGAGGACAGGCAGGAGGACTTTGAGTGTCTTGCAGCTGCTGTACCTCATCTCGCGGCCATGCTGCTTGCACCTGAGGGAGACCCGGATGCACCAGACATCACGACCCCGCGATCTTACGCAGAGGCGATTACGGGTCTCTACTCCTCTCAGTGGCAGATAGCCATTGACGCAGAGATGGCATCCTCGAAGTCCACAGGCACTTACGTCGACGCAGTTCCCCCTCCTGGGGCGAACATAGTCGATGGCATGTGAATTTTCAGGGTGAAGCGGCCGCCGGGTTCTCCGCCTGTCTTCAAGGCTCGTTACGTTGCACGAGGCTTTAGTCAGCGACAGCGAGTTGACTTCTTCCAAACCTTCTCCCCTACCCCAAAAATGACCACTCTTCGGGTGCTGCTGCACGTCGCCGCTCGGCGTGACTACGAGCTTCACTCTCTTGACTTCAGCACAGCTTTCTTACAGGGCAGCCTGCACGAGGAGATCTGGCTGCGCCGCCCACCTGGCTTCACTGGGTCGTTTCCAGCAGGTACCCAGTGCAGCCTCCGGCGGCCAGTCTACGGTCTCCGCCAGGCGCCTCGCGAGTGGCACGACACACTGAGGACGACGCTTGCGGCTCTTGGGTTTGCTCCTTCGACTGCTGACCCGTCGTTGTTTCTGCGCACCGACACTTCGCTGCCGCCGTTCTACGTCCTCGTGTACGTCGACGACTTGGTTTTTGCCACTGCTGACACTGAGGGACTGGCCCTAGTGAAGTCGGAGCTACAGAAGAGACACACCTGCACTGACCTGGGTGAGTTGTGCAGCTATCTTGGCTTGCAGATCACCCGGGGTAGCCAATAAGGGGTACAACCCAATTAGGGTTAGTACTTGTAATCAGTTTCTTGTCAATGCATTCATCCTCGTTCAGTATTCTGACAGAAACGACTTAGTCGGAAGCCTATTACATATAATCAGGGGCCCCAAAACAATAAGTCTGATGCATTTAGTGATGAAAATTAGAATAGTATGAAAAAAATCATTTTCCACCAAGTGCAAGGTCTGATTCGTCAGAATAATCATACTAAATAGTCTGGTAGCGTCAGCACTGTATCCAACCTTGTTTTGGGCACGTTCCAACAGCGATCCGATTTATTATTACCTGGATTCTATAGAATCCTGCTAGTGTGGGACACATGAAGCTGCATGTTCGATTCACATATTCGACAACCCTTGCGACAGCATATCATAGTCAAGTGCGACGATAGGCAGAGTCACGACTCATGATGCCATTTTGCATGAATGGCGCCAATTTTGGAATCTTTGGCTAAAGTTTCAGGAGTCTTTACAAATCCTGACAGATTCGCATATATGGTCCCGTTCGATACAATGCTAATGATGCATTGTTACTTTGGACGTAGAAATCAGTGCTGGTTCACAAAAACTAGATAAAAAATTCTGAGCTAACATAAAAAAATGTGCTGTTGACGCAGCCCAAGGGAAAAACATAACCCTTAAGACCAGCCTTCTAGTCCCAATTAAAAGTAAAAATGCGGAGTTCCGGGGGCCTGGACCGTCACATCATTACTTATCAACGCACCACCTAATATTTAATACGACAAAGCCATCCTCCAACCTGAAGTTAAGAAGTGTGTGCTATTATTCAATCAATTTCTAAGTGCCTTGGACCCCCATTTGTATTTGTTTTTTTTTTTTCCTATGTATAATATTTACTACGATTCACCACCGTTTCTTCGGTCCTCATGCGTCCTCAATGCACATGCATATTTCTATGCAAATATATATAGGATAATGGTCATTTCTATGCCTATTATTTGTACTCGAGAGATTTCTACATTGATTTTTTAATGAATGGGATGGCGTATTGAGGTTACCTGTTTGTACAGATTTCCCTTGCAGATGGCGTGCAGATTTCAGGGGCCCTCTACAACGAGTACCGGGGTCTGTTGTTCGCGGGGCGGGTTACCGCAGTTGAGGTTCGTTTGAAAGTGGTTTGGGTACTGACGCGAGGCGGATGTGACTCGCGAAACTCATTCTGGTTCGGATATGCCTTAGTTGGTAACATTTGAACGGAAAAGAACAAGCTGGACAGACACCCATAAGAATAACAGTGAGGAGTTTGCGCTGTTTCTTGTGCAACCACAGTTGCTCGCGTTTGTGTGCGTGCAGAAATAGCAGAGCCAGACTTCACAAGCCCTCCGTTTTGCCGTAACGTCGTTACTACTCGCTCGCTCGCTTTTATTGTGCATGTCGGCGACTTCACGTTAGTTGCCACGTGAATTGCGGCGTTACAATCATGGGGCCGGGGCGAGGGAAGAAATCACACAGCGGAGGTTCCAAAGGGCGGCTGGCATTTTCCGTTAGCGGGGCGGCAAAAGGTGGCGGCCGAACACGTGGCTTCGATGGATTGGTAGACGATTTGCCCGAGTCTTTAGGACTGTCAACGAGCGGGGGAAAAGGCAGAGAAAGGGAGGAGGACAGGGGAGGTGACGCGGGGCGGTCCCGTGGGGGCTCAGTAGGCAAAAGAATAGAGGGCGGAACGATGCCCGGGGGAGGGAGGGGGCGAGGGAAAGATAGAGGGAGAGGGAGGGGGACCGCGGGTGGAGACGAGAGGGGCAGGGAGAGGAAGTTTCAGGGAAATATCGCGGGAGGTGCAGGCGGAGCGGAGGATTTTGGGGCTGGGAGGATTGGGGATGGAGATAGAAGCGGAAGGGGTTTAAACGGGGATGGAGGGTTTGGGAAGGGAAGGGGTTTAGGTAGGGTTCAGGGGAGAGGGTCGGATAGTTCGAGTTTTGGTAGATTATCAAGGAACAAAGAGGAGGAGGAAGAGGAGGAGGAAGAAGAGGAAGAGGAGGAGGAGGAGGAGGAGGAGGAGGAGGAGGAGGAGGAGGAACAGGGGCTGGCGGGGGAAGAGGGGGAGGTGGAAAGTGGAAGTGAGGAGAAGGGAGGTGATTCGGAGGAGCAGAGCGACGCAGAGGATGAGCTGGTAAGCTGAACCCGAGTCCCCTCTCCCCTCTCCCCTCTCCCCAATCCCCACTCCCCACTCCCCTCTCCCCACTCCCCTCTCCCCACTCCCCTCTCCCCTCTCCCCTCTCCCCTCTCCCCTCTCCCCTCTTTCCTCTCCCGTCCCCCTTCTCCCCTCTCCCCTCTCCCGTCTCCCGTCTCCCCTCGGCCCTATTCCCTCTCCCCTTCCTCTCCCATCTCCCCTCTCCCCTGTCCTCCGTCTCCCTCCTTCTCCCTTCTCCCCTCTCCCCTGTTCTTACTCACCCCAGGCGCGCCTGCAGCAGCAGCTAGCGGACGTGCCTTCAGCGCATGAGAAGCGGCAGGCGGACCACACTGTCCTCCACGCCTCTCACTTCCCTTACCTCCCACTCCCGTTCCACCCCGCTATCAGTCGCGCCTACAGCAGCAGCTAGCGGACGTGCCCTTTGAGGAGATCCAGCGCATGAGAAGCCGCGGATGGGCTGCTGCCCCTTCAAGAGTCTCTGGGGAGCTTGGTGGGCTTGGGGGAAGAAGTCAGGCTGGCATTGGGGCTGGTGCTGGTGCTGGTGCTGATTCCGATTCTGTCTCTAGTGACGAGAATGATGGGGATGGTGGGGACGGTGGCGAAGCTGGGAGGAAAGGAGGGGCTAGAGGGAAGGGAGCGAGAGGGGGAGGAGCAGGAGGGGAGGAGGCAGGGGGCAGTGGGGGAGCAGCGGGGGTGGTGGGGTTGAAGCGCATGAAGGTGCTGGCAGAGGCGGTGAGGCGGCGGGCCAACAAGAACCGACCCATGGAGCTGCCTGCTAAGAAGCCCGTTCCGCGACTGCGACAAGTGGTGGACGCTCCTAGGAAGGTGGGGTGGGGTGGGGTGGGATGGGATGGGATGGGATGGGATGGGATGGGATGGGATGGGATGGGATGGGATGGGATGGGATGGGATGGATGGGATGGGATGGGATGGGATGGGATGGGATGGGATGGGATGGGATGGGATGGGATGGGATGGGATGAGATGGGATGGGATGGGATGGGATGGGATGGGATGGGATGGGATGGGATGGGATGGGATGGGATGGGATGAGATGAGATGGGATGGGTAAGAACCACCTTTCTATAGCTGCAGGCCAACAGGAACCGACCCATGGAGCTGCCAGCTAAGAAGCCCGTGCCGACGCTCCCAAAAAGGTGGGGCGGGATACGAACCACCTTTCAAAGCTGCTTGCTTGTATGTCTGCGTGATTCTGGTGTGCGGAGTGGGGAGTAGGATGACTTGTGATGCTGGTGTGCGGAGTGGGGAGTAGGATGAGTTGTGATGCTGGTGTGCGTGTGCTTATGCCGCGACGCGAGGTACCCCATGGCTCCCCCCCATGTCTTCCAATGCTCCCCCCATGTCCCCCCGTGTCCCGCCATGCCCCCTAATGCCCCCCCATGCCCCCCGCATGTCCCCCCATGTCCCCCCATGCCCCTCCATATCCCCCCGTGTCCCCCCGTGTCCCCCCATGCCCCCCCATGTCCCCCCGTGTCCCCCCGTGTCCCCCCGTGTCCCCCTGTGTCCCCCCGTGTCCCCCCGTGTCTCCTAATGCCCCCTCATGTCTCCACTTGCCCCCCTCATGTCCCCCTGTGTCTCCCCGCCACGTCCCCCATTGTCCCCCATGTTCCGCCATCTCCTCCCCCCATCCACTCCCTTCCATCTCCTTCTAACTTCCCCCATCCCCCCGAATCTCTCCCGAAGTTGCCCCAGTCTCCCCTCATCCCCCCACATCTCCTTCATAGTCCCGCGCTTGCTCTGAGATGGTAATGCCTCCCATTTGTTTCCCAATCTCCCCTTCAGTCTCCCCCCAACCTCCCCCAATCCTCTCCTAACTTCTCCCAATCTTCCCAGATTTCATTTTCCCCCATTCTTCCTCTCTCCCCAATTCCACTCTCCCCCATCCCGCCTCAAGCTCCCCTAATCTCCCCCAATCTGCCTCAACTCCCTCCCATTTCCCACGTCCACCCGCCCCTCTAACTGCAGGTTGTTCGGGACCCGCGCTTTGAGTCGCTCTGTGGGGAGTACGACGAGGGCAGGTGGGCACTGGGGGAGGAATGGGAGGGACAGGGGGGAGGCGGGGATGGGGGGCGGGACGGGTGGAGGTCCGCGCTTTGAGTCGCTCTGTGGGGAGTACGACGAGGGCAGGTGGGCACTGGGGGAGGAATGGGAGGGACAGGGGGGAGGCGGGGATGGGGGGGGGAACGGGTGGAGGTCCGCGCTTTGAGTCGCTCTGTGGGGAGTACGACGAGGGCAGGTGGGCACTGGGGGAGGAATGGGAGGGACAGGGGGGAGGCGGGGATGGGGGGCGGGACGGGTGGAGGTCCGCGCTTTGAGTCGCTCTGTGGGGAGTACGACGAGGGCAGGTGGGCACTGGGGGAGGAATGGGAGGGACAGGGGGGAGGCGGGGATGGGGGGGGGAACGGGTGGAGGTCCGCGCTTTGAGTCGCTCTGTGGGGAGTACGACGAGGGCAGGTGGGCAGTGGGGGAGAAAAGGGAGGGGCAGGGGGGACTGGGGGGGAAAGGGGAAAAGGGTCCACTATTGAGGAAGGGAGGGGAGATGTAGAAGGAGGAAGATTGGAAGATAGGGCGTGTTCAGTTCCCAAGCTCCCTCATGCCACTTCTTGAGTCTGCTCAAATAGAGGCACGCTGCCTCAAATTGAGGGTCCAATAAAGATAGTCCTCACCTCATTGCGCTATCTGAAATGAGGACTAGCACCCATTTCCTCGATCTGTTTTACAATGTAATAACTGTTTTTACGCCTCGTCTTTGTTCTGTTCTGCCCACTTTGTTTCCAGGTTCAAGTCTGCGTACAAGTTCCTGTTTGCAGAAACTCTTCCCAAGGAGAAAGAGGTAAGCTCAGATTACAGTGACTAACCGTTGTTGACAGCCTATGAATGCAATGCTGATGGTGTGTTGTGTCTGTAAGATGCAAAGTGCTCCCCATCCGCCCGCCCTCTCGTCGCCCCTCCTCAAACCCCCCTTTTGTGGAACACGTAGAGCATGGGCTTTCCTGCCTCTGAGTCCTCACCGAATTGCCACCACTCACAATGCTCCGCAATCTTCTCACCTTGCGTGCACTCACCCCCTCTTGCCTCCACTCACCCCCCCTTGCGTGCACCCACCCTTGCCTCTACGCCGTTACCAGGAGATGCAGAGGCAGCTGAAGAGGGCCAAGGATGAGGAGGAGCGGAAGAAGATCAAGCGGCGTCTCGAACAGATCGTAAGCTACTGGCCTCGCCCACTCATGCTGTTGCCAAGAGCTATTTTTTTTTTCTTTCTGGTTTCTAAAGGTTATAATGAACAAAGAATTCCATCTAGCAAAATTGCTCCTTTAGCCGAAACTATTTGCCTCGGTTGAATCTCTGTTTCCACTGTCTCTAGTTTCTCTTGCTTTTCCTCACTTGATCCTCTCTGATTTTCCCTCTTTCGCTCTCCCTTCCACCCTGTCTCTCTTGCTCCTTTGTGGTTTCTCAACATATACATACGCATCTGTGTTGCACTTTATTTTTCTTATTTTCCAAGTCTCCATTGCTCCTCCTATTTACCATTTTGCATATTTATGTCCTACATTGGCCTTCTCTCTGCCCCTCACACCTCTCATGCCCTCTCTCTGCCCCACACCCCTCGTGCCCTCGCTGTGGCCCCCGCACCCCTCGTGCCTTCTCTCCGCCCCTTCCACACACACCTGGTGTTCTGTTCCACAGGAGCAATCATTGAAGAGTGAGGGCCAGAGGCAGAAGAAGGTGGGGAGGGAGATGGAGCTGAAGCGGCAGGAGAGGGAGGCCGTGAAGGCGGGCAAGAAACCATTCTACCAGACCAAGTGTACGTGCTGCTGTGATTGTGTGATTGAGTGCGAGAGAGATGACTTTTGAGTCAAGTCAAAGGTCATTGTAGCGACAGGAGAGAGGCCGTGAAGGCGGGCAAGAAGCCTTTCTACCAGACCAAGTGTACGTGCTGGTGTGATTGTGTGATTGTGTTCCTGTGTGCCTGTGTGTGAGAGAGAAAGAGAGTGTGGCCGGGAGGGAGAGGGAGATGGAGCTGAAGCTGCAGGAGAGAGAGGCCGTGAAGGCAGGAAAGAGACCTTTCTATCACACCAAGTGTACGTGCTGCTTGTGTGCTGGTGTTCTTGTGTGCTTGAGTGCATGTGTGCGTGTGTGCTTGTTGTGCTTGTGTGCTGGTGTTCTTGTGTGCTTGTGTGCATGTGTGCGTGTGTGCTTATTGTGCTTGTGTGCTGGTGTTCTTGTGTGCTTGTGTGCATGTGTGCGTGTGTGCTTGTTGTGCTTGTGTGCTGGTGTTCTTGTGTGCTTGTGTGCATGTGTGCGTGTGTGCTTATTGTGCTTGTGTGCTGGTGTTCTTGTGTGCTTGTGTGCTTGTGTGCGTGTGTGCTTGTTGTGCTTGTGTGCTGGTGTTCTTGTGTGCTTGTGTGCATGTGTGCGTGTGTGCTTGTTGTGCTTGTGTGCTGGTGTTCTTGTGTGCTTGTGTGCATGTGTGCGTGTGTGCTTGTTGTGCTCGTGTGCTGGTGTTCTTGTGTGCTTGTGTGCATGTGTGCGTGTGTGCTTGTTGTGCATGTGTGCTGGTGTTCTTGTGTGCTTGTGTGCATGTGTGCGTGTGTGCTTGTTGTGCTTGTGTGCTGGTGTTCTTGTGTGCTTGTGTGCATGTGTGCGTGTGTGCTTGTTGTGCTCGTGTGCTGGTGTTCTTGTGTGCTTGTGTGCATGTGTGCGTGTGTGCTTGTTGTGCTTGTGTGCTGGTGTTCTTGTGTGCTTGTGTGCATGTGTGCTGGTGTTCTTGTCTGCTTGTGGGCGAGAGAGTGTGGCTGGGAGGAGGGTGACGCGTACCCATGCATCACAGCAATCGTCCCAGCAACTAAACACTGTGTTCATATCAGACATGCGTTGCTGATATGCATTGCTCGCCCTAAGCTTCCAGTGAGCAGAGGGGTGTGAGCAGACTCGAATCCCACCTTATGCTGAACAACCCTCTCATCAGCTCACACCACACCCCCTCCTCCGATGCTAGCCATCCCACCTCCCCTCCCCTACTCCAGCCAACCCACCTTGCACCCTACCATAACAACACGCCCTCGTCTACCCCCGACCCCAACACCCCTCTAGTCTTTACTTGCCTCACATCCCCTTTCGACTTGCGTTGGCATCCGGCATTGCGTGCGGTGTGGTGTGGTGTGGTGTGGTGTGGTGTGGTGTGGTGTGGTGTGGTGCGGTGCTGTGCGGTCATGCGGTGTGTGCCACGTGTTGTGGTGTTCCTCTGCAGCGTCTCGTCGGCGTGAGGAGCTGTACGAGAAGTACCAAGAGCTTAAGGTAAGCCCGTTCACATCCATCACATGCTCAGTACACCACACAAAGCATGGGGTTGGGGTTGTTCTGGACAACTCAAAAGCACCTTCTCACAAACGATCAACAATGCTGCTGTTTTTTTTTTTTTTTTTTTTGTGTTGTGTTGTGTTTTTTTTTTTTTTTTTTTTTTTTTTCATTGGCATTACTTTCTGCTCTGGGATCATTCAGTGAGCGTCACTTCCGCGGTCTTATGTCTCTCCATAGCCAAACTGGTTGTTTCCAACCTCCTTTAATATCTACGTCCCTCCTTGCCTTTTTCTTGTGTGTGTGTTGCAGGCGGGGGGCAAGCTCGACTCATTTATGGCGAAGAAGAGGAAGAGAAACGCGGCGAGGGAGCACACCAAGGTGCCGTTCCGCCGAGAGCATTAGCAGGCCGAGTGCGTATGAAGAATAAACAAGGAATTATGTGGTTGGTGAAGTGTTAAGGGCATTCACATCACATATACTTGGAATGTCAAATAAAGCCATATAACCTGATTGCACGAGCTAGAAGAGATGGGATGGGACTGATTGAGAAAATGCAGGGTTCCCCCAAGTTTAGTGTTGCTTATATATTCAAGGCGCTTTCATAGAGGCCCCTGATGATTCAGGTGTATGAGGGAGCCACGGTCTTGGATTATAATTCATTCCACTACCAGATAAGCATAGAGTAACATACGTATTTCCAGATTATGAAAAACAGTGTCGAATTATGTAATTGTGCCAGAAATTCTTATGGTATTTTATTGCCGTTATTTCTATTTCATATCCACTGTGATGCACATGTTTACATTTTGATTCATGTTAGGGATTCGAATTACTGTAAAACAAATCGTGACTCAGAAGTGACAAACGTGCATATCAGTGACAGTCGCGTCGCGACTAGAAACCTGAGTGAGTACTCTACCCAAGTTAGGGTTCGAGCACCCAATATCTATTCGCCACCGATCTGTAACCATGCGTATTCTCTCTGCAACTTACAGAACCAGCTCTAACCCAGCGTGCAAGGAACGTGATCCTTACGAAGGGTCGTTGCGCCCAATGAAACCAGATCCGACAAGACTAGCCAGCCACTTTGTGCCAGTCGCCACGTAATACCCCACTTCCACATCCATGTCCAGACCGGCCAAGTCAACTACAGAGCTCCCTCATAACCCAATGTTACACTAAGTCCTTATCTCGCTGTTTTCGCCGGTTTGACGTTTGTTTCCAATGGTGGCAAATGGCGGGGAAAGGAAGGGAGGCGAGAGAACAGCGGGGAACGGGAACCGGAGCGAGGAGGGGGAGGAGGATGGGAGAGACGAGCCGGAGAGGAACAATTCGGGGGAGGTAGAGCAGACAGGAGGGTCGGACGCGGCGTCGGGAGAGGACGAAAGGGATGGCGGAGGAGGAGGAAGCGAGGGAGGGGAGGGAGGGGAGGAATACGCTGACGGGAAAGAGGCCGACGGGGAGGAAGCGGAGTACGAAAATGCTGACGGAAAATTAGACGGCGACGGAAAGGACAGCGAGGAGGATGAAGACGCGGAGGCGGAAGACGGAAAGGAGGACGATGACGATGACGGAGACGGAGAAGAGGACGGAGAGGACGACGAGGAGGAGGAGGAGGAGGACGGAGAGGAGGAGGAGGACGAGGAGGAGTGCGACGATCAGTCGCCAGTGGAGGAGGTCGCATTGACGGTGGCGACGTTCGACGACCCGTCGCTGCCGTGCCTGACGTGGCGCGTGGTCATCATCGGCAGCATCGTGTGCGCCCTGCTCGCCTTCATCAACCAATACTTCTGGTTCAGGTGGGCCCAGCAGCATGCAGTACTTCTGGTTCCGGTGGGGGAATGGTCGAACCAGGTGGGCCCAGCAACATGCATGCAAGCAAGCAGTACTTCTGATTCGGGCCCACCAATGGTTCAGGTGGGCCCACCAATGGTTCAGGTGGGCCCACCAACATGGTTCAGTTCAGGTGGGCGTCAATCAGTACTTCTGGTTCAGGTGCATGCAGCGCCTGGTCCAACCAAGAAATAAGAGATATTCTGGTTCAGGTGGGCAGTACGTCTGGTTCAGGTGCAGGCTGGTGCGGGCTGAGCATTCACGGAGCATGCACCAAGCATGCATGCATGCATGCGATCATAATCCACAAGTCCTTGCCTAGTCGCTTTCCATTCCACTCCAGTCACTCCCCTTCGTGAACAGCAGTTTCTGTATCCGCATTTCCCAACGCCCATGCATTGCATGACACCTGCACGATGTACCGAGCCCGTGAGCTGTGAACGCCCCATGCATGGGCTGCCCCGCATTGCCCATGCCATGGTATGGCGTTTACAAAATGTACCATGCCGCTGTGCTGCTCTGAGCACCCCATGCACGGCGGCCCATGTCCACCACCCTCCATGCACGCTTGCTTTCGTCCTGTCACTCCCCCCCTGCACGTTGGTGGACGGCTATTGAGACGCCTCAAAGGTGGTCTGCCCCTTGCATTCCCTTTGGTTGGTGACTGATGACTGTTTCCTGAGTGCCCTTGCATGCCTGGGCTGTTCCATGCTTTCCATGTGATCATTGCTTGCAACCCGTGTGTGTGTGTGTGTGTGTGTGTGTGTTTGTGTGTGTTTGTGTGTGTTTGTGTGTGTTTGTGTGTGTGTGTGTTTGTGTGTGTGTGTTTGTGTGTGTGTGTGTGTTTGTGTGTGTGTGTGTGTTTGTGTGTGTGTGTGTGTGTGTGTTTGTGTGTGTGTGTGTGTGTGTGCGTGCGGGTGTGCCTGTGTGTGTGTGTGTGTGTGTGTGTGTGTGTGTGTGCGGGTGTGCCTGTGTGTGCCCGTGCATGTTCCTGTGCTTGTTGTGTGTGCATGCATGAGCACCACAGGACCCAGTCCATCATCATCAACCCCATCGCTGCTATCATCCTCTCTCTCTACATGGGTCGCCTCTTAGCGAGGATAGAGCGCCGCTTCAAACCCGATGCACTCCCCTTCAGTGTCAAGGTAAGGTGACGTTTACATGCCGAGCTGGTGCGAACTGAACACGGCAAAAGAGTTTGTGTCACTTTTGAGAATCCTGGCGTGGGCTGTTGTGACGTGACGTGGTGATGATGCAAGAGCCTGGCGTACGTCCCTGAAGGGAGGAGGGCTGCGTGGGCCAGTGGGTGTGCGGGTGGGTGGACACGCACACATGCACACATGCACATGCAGTGCGGGTGACTCCCGAATCGCACACATGCACATGCACATGCACATGCAGTGCAGCTGTGGGGATGAAGTTATGTGCATGTGCAAGGAGGCCATCACCAGGCTCCCTCCAGGCAGCCTCCAAGCACCACACCAAAGTGCATTGCGCTTCAGCACCATTATGTGACCTGCATGTGTGTGGGGGGGGGGGGGGGGGGGGGCGGAGGGGGGGAGGGGGGGTGGGGGGGGGAAGGAGAGAGGAGAGAGGGGGGGGGGGGGGGGGGCGGGGGGTGCGTGCGTGCGTGTGTGCATGCTGCATGATCCTGCTTCCCGTCCACTGCCCCCCACAGGAGCATGTGCTGATCGGCATATTCGCCAACTGCGGGTCAGCCTTCGGCAACGGCAACGCGTATGCCATTGACATCGTGACCATCATGAAGCAATTCTACAACGTTGTGAGTGCCTCCAGCCCTCCTGCCCTCCTGCCCTCTACAAGCCCATGCCCTCCTTCCCCCACGCCCTCCTGTCCCCATGCCCCCAATGCCCCATGCCCTTATTGCCCCATGCCCCCACCCCATTGCCCCATACCCCCATTGCCCCATACCCTAGGCTTGAGCAAAATCGCGAACCCCTGTTCGGTTCGTCACAAACCAAACGGGGGCTTTTTTTTGCCCAAAAACGTTCGTGACAAACGCCCCCAGTTCGTCACAAACGCGTTCGTGATGTTCGTCGCGTTCGTGGGACATAGGACGAACGCAAACGCGTTCGCCTTTGAAATAGGTTCGCCGCGAACCCTACGGGTATGTAGTGGACAAACTCGTCGTTTGAGCTCGAAGTGAGATCAAATGAGCAGATCCGCCATTGTTATTCCCTCCCTACACACAGCCGCCCTAAGAACACATGAATCAGAGCGTTCACCCTCGTTTCGGCAGTGTAGAATGGCACCCAAACCCGAACAGGTTCGAGTTCGCCTCAAACGTCTAAGAGGTCCGTGGCAAATCCTAAGTGTTTTTGTGACCACCAACACACGAACGCCTATTTCAGGAAATTGGTCCGTGGCAAACCGTTCGTTTTCGGTTAACCTTCGGTGTTCGTTGACGTTCGTGGCAAACACGTTCGTGTTCGCCATTTGCTCATGTCTACCATACCCCCATTGCCCCATACCCCCATTGCCCCATAACCCCATTGCCCAATGCCCCCATTGCGCCCCCATTGCACCATACCCTGATGTCTCAGTGCTTTCACTTCGCTTCTCTGCGCCCTTCTGTGTGCATGCCCTTCAAGCCACTTTCCTCCCCATCCCTTACCCTCATCTCTACACAACTCTGCAGTCAAATTCTCTCAGCAATGGTAGTTCTCGTTTATACGCTCTTTCGTTCTTGCTCGATATTTATCCCTTTCATTGATGTCCTTCCAATCCAACCACGGCGAGTGACGATGACCCCGCATCCCTTCCTTCCTCGCATGCCTTCCCTTCCCTCCAACTCTGTCCACCCGCTCCTCACTTTCCCAACTCCCACTCTTCCATTCTCATTCCTCATCCCCCTCCATCTACCCGCTTGCCCGCTCCTTCGCTTCCAACCCTCTTTCCCCCCGCCCCCCTCCTGTCTCCCCTCCACACCCCCCCGCCTCACCAGCAATTGAATTTCTTCCCGGCGTTTCTGCTCGTCACCACAACACAAGTGCTCGGATACGGATGGGCCGGCATGTTCCGACGCTACCTCGTGGTGAGTTGTTGTGAGTGGATTCGAAAGCCGTGTTCCTGCTCGTCACCACAACGCAAGTGCTCGGATACGGGTGGGCGGGCATGTTCAGACGCTACCTCGTGGTGAGATTGGCAGGCCTGGGTACGAACGGGCGGGCAAGCAAATGGATGGGCGGGCAGGGAAATGGATGGGCGGGCAGGGAAATGGATGGGCGGGCAGGGAAATGGATGGGCGGGCAGGGAAATGGATGGGCGGGCAGGGAAATGGATGGGCGGGCAGGGAAATGGATGGGCGGGCAGGGAAATGGATGGGCGGGCAGGGAAATGGATGGGCGGGCAGGGAAATGGATGGGCGGGCAGGGAAATGGATGGGCGGGCAGGGAAATGGATGGGCGGGCAGGGAAATGGACGGGCGGGCAGGGAAATGGATGGGCGGGCAGGGAAATGGATGGGCGGGCAGGGAGATGGATGGGCGGGCAGGGAAATGGATGGGCGGGCAGGGAAATGGATGGGCGGGCAGGGAAATGGATGGGCGGGCAGGGAAATGGATGGGCGGGCAGGGAAGTGGATGGGCGGGCAGGGAAATGGATGGGCGGGCAGGGAAATGGATGGGCGGGCAGGGAAATGGATGGGCGGGCAGGGAAATGGATGGGCGGGCAGGTAAATGATGGGCGGGCAGGGAAATGGATGGGCGGGCAGGGAAATGGATGGGCGGGCAGGGAAATGGATGGGCGGGCAGGGAAATGGATGGGCGGGCAGGGAAATGGACGGGCGGGCAGGGAAATGGATGGGCGGGCAGGGAAATGGATGGGCGGGCAGGGAAATGGATGGGCGGGCAGGGAAATGGATGGGCGGGCAGGGAAATGGATGGGCGGGCAGGGAAATGGATGGGCGGGCAGGGAAATGGATGGGCGGGCAGGGAAATGGATGGGCGGGCAGGGAAATGGATGGGCAGGCAGGGAAATGGATGGGCGGGCAGGGAAATGGATGGGCGGGCAGGGAAATGGATGGGCAGGCAGGGAAATGGATGGGCGGGCAGGGAAATGGACGGTCGTTCCCACCCTACGGTTGTCACTCCCTCTCTTCTCAATCATCACTCTTGGTTGCCCTCTCAGCCACTCATCTACCTTCCCAGGCGCCCCGTCATCTCATCATGCCCACCACACCAGTACCTCAGGAACCACCTCCTCTGTCGCTCCCACCCTCCCACCCTCCGATAGTCACTCATTTTCCCTCTCCTTTCAATCTTCACTCTTAGTTGCCCTTGCCCCTTCCCCTCCTCACCCTCATTACCGCATCTCTCATCACAAATGCAACCCACCCCCCCTCCCCTCCCCTCCCCCCCTCTCAATTTCCACCCCTCCCCTGCCCCTCCTCTCCCCCCGTCGCCCCCCGCTGCGCCTCATTGCCCCGCGTCAGGAACCAGCCCACACCTCTCAGCCCAGTCACACATGGTGACCCTCCGTCAATATCTCACTACCAACGCCCCTCCTCCTCCGCCCCCCTCTCCTCTCCCTGTTGTCCACCCTCCCATGCCCCTCCTGCACCTCCTGTCCCCCCATCGCCCCCCATCGCCCCCATTAAGATTGAAGATTAAGGGCAACTAAGAGTGCCGGCTCCTGTCCCTCCATCGCCCTCCATCGCCCCCCATCGGCCCCCATCGCCCCCCATCGCCCCCCATCGCCCCCCATTGCCCCCCATCGCCCCCCATCGCCCCCCATCGCCCCCCATCGCCCCCCATTGCCCCCCATCGCCCCCCATCGCCCCCCATCGCCCCCCATCGCCCCCCATTGCCTCCCATCGCGCCCCATCGCCCCCCATCGCCCCCCATCGCCCCCCATTGCCCCCCATCGCCCCCCATCGCCCCCCATCGCCCCCCATCGCCCCCCATCGCCCGCACTACCCCTCATCAGGAGCTGGCGCACATGTGGTGGCCCACAGATCTCGTCTCGTCCTCTCATTACCACCCCTCTCCTCTCCTCTCCTCTCCCTGCTTTCCACCCTCCCCTGCCCCTCATGTTACCCCCCATCGGCCCCCACCCCCACCCGTCATTGCTACCCATCATGAGCCGGCGCACATGTGTTGGCCCACAGACCTCGTCTATGTCTCTCATTACTCATGAGTCCCCTTCCCGCCTCCCCCCCAACCCCAACCCCGTTTCCCACCCTCCTGTCCCCCCGTCGCCCCCCATCGCCTCGCCACCCACTGCCCCTCAATGAGTCTCATTGCTTCGCATCCTCCCCTCTCCCTCCTTCTCCCCCATCTCCCCCCTTCGCCCCCCATTACTGCCCATCAGGAGCCGGCCCACATGTGGTGGCCCACAGACCTCGTCTACGTCTCCCTCTACCGGTAAGCCTCCTGTCCACCACGCCCCCTCCTTCCACTTCCCACCCTTGTTCTCCGTCTTTCGAAGGATCCTTGGGAAGACGGAGAACGAGGGTGGGAGAATCCTGGCATGAAACATAAGTCTAGGTTCCTGATGGGCAGCAATGGGGGGCGAAGGGGGGGCGAAGTCTAGAACATAAGTCTAGAATCATGGCTCCTGAGGGGAGGATTGCTTCGCATCCTCCCCTCTCCCTCCTTCTCCCCCCTTCGCCCCCCATTGCATGCCCATCAGGAGCTAAAAAATAGCGCCGTTCTCCCCTTTCTCCTCCATGGGTATCAGCCCTCTTGAGCCCTGAATCCAGCAGTTGAGCGTCATACAATCACATGCCTCCCCATGCCCACTGCCTCCCCATGCCCACGCCCATCGTTGGGGTCCGTACATACCAACCATCCCCTTCCCTCCCCTCCCCTCCCCTCAACTCCCCTCAACTCCCATCTCTTCTCCTCAGCCAGCCGCCTCTTGCATCCCACTCAACACCCTGCACGAGTGAGACACACGAGCACGCGGCATGCTGACACGCGCACTCCTCATCATCCCCCCACCACCTTTTGTAGCTCCACTCCTCTCCTGGTGCCTCTACTCCACAACCCCACTCTACCTCCCCCCACCCCACCCCACCCCACTCCACCCCACCCCACCCCACTCCACCCCACCCCACCCCACTCCATCCCACGACCCCTTCCTCTCCTCTTCTCCTCCTCCCCTCCGATCCAGCACCCCCACGAGTCAGAGACACCAGCGCGCGGCATGCTGACACGGCTTCACTACTTCCTCCTCACGCCCCCACTCCCCACCTTTTCTGCAGCACCACTCCTGGTGCCTCTACTCCACAACCCCCACCCCACCCCACCCCACCCCACCCCAACCCACCCCAGCCCACCCCATTCCACCCCACAACCCCCTCCTCCCCTCCCACCAGCACCATCCTGCCGCAGTCCTGCTGCTTTACTCAACTCCACAAACCACACCCCTCCTCTTCGCTTCCCTTTCCCCCCCTGTCCTCCCCATTTCCCCCTCCTCTCCTCCTCCCTCCCCTCCCCTCCCCCCTTTCCCTCCCAACAGAACCCTCCACGAGTCAGACACACCAGCGAGAGGCATGCTAACACGGGCCCACTTCTTCTTCCTCATGACAGCGCTCTCCTTCTGCTGGTACCTCGTGCCCGCCTACCTCATCCCCATCGTCTCCTGCCTCTCCTGGGTCTGCTGGGTCTGGCCCTCCTCCATCACCGCCCAGCAACTCGGCTCTGGTGGGTGCTTGCTTTGTCTCCGTTTTCATGCCACGCCACCCCTCCGCACTCCCCACTCCCCCCTCTCCGCCTCTCCCCCTTCTCTTCCACCAACTGGATCTGCTGGGTCTGGCCCTCCTCCATCACCGCGCAGCAACTCGGCTCAGGTCGGTGCTAAGTCCCCCCCATACACCTCCCCCATTTCTCCCCCTCCCTTCCTCCCTTGTTTCCTCCTCCCTTTTTCCTTGTGCCTCATCCCCATCGTCTCATGCCTCTCCTGCCTCTCCTGGGTCTGGCTGGCCCTTCTACATCACAGCGCAGCAGCTCGCCTCTTCCCCCCCTCCTCCCCCTTCCAACCCTCCTGCCCCCTCCCCCCTTCCTCCCCCTCCCCCCTTCCTTCCCCCTCTCCCTTGCTCCCTTCTCCTGGGTCTGCTGGGTCTGACCTCTGGTGCCACTGCTCCGAACCCCCCCATTTCCTCCCCCTCCCCTTCCCCGCCTGGTTTAAGGGGCATGGGCATCGGCGCCATTTCTCTCGACTGGACTACAGCGTTGCCCTTCCTCTCGCATGCCTTCACAACACTCCTCCCCCCTCTCCTCCCCCCTCTCCTCCCCCCCTCTCCTCCCCCCTCTCCTCCCCCCTCTCCTCCCCCCTCTCCTCCCCCCTCTCCTCCCCCCTCTCCTCCCCCCTCTCCTCCCCCCTCTCCTCCCCCCTCTCCTCCCCCCTCTCCTCCCCCCTCTCCTCCCCCCTCCCCTCCCGCCCTTTTTACCCTCCTGGTGGATGAAGAGGATGTATTGGGATGTTGATTTCGTCTGTATCAAGTCGAATCAAATCATTGCGTGCCTGCAGGAGCTGATGGCAGAAGTGGGAGGAGAGGCATACGAGGGAGGGAGGGGTGGCTCTGCTTCCTGCAGGCAGAGCAGCGAGTGAAGCGACTGGAGCAGCAGCAAGAGGAGCAGCAGCAGACGCAATGAGAGGAGGAGATCGTGTGGTGCTGCGGCTGGCACGAGAGCGGGAGCTCATGTGAGTCACGTAAGGTGCACAAGTGGGTATGGTGGTTGCTGCACAATGGGAGGGGCAGCACAATGGGAGGGGCAGCACAATGGGAGGGGCAGCACAATGGGTCTGGGCGCCATAACCCTCGACTGGGCCACCATTGCGGCCTTCCTCTCCCATGGCCTCCCACCACTCTCAAGATCACTCCCCAACCACCCCCTCGCTCCCCCACACCCCTCTCTCCACTTTTCCCAGGTCTGAGGGGCATGGGTCTGGGCGCCATAACCCTCACCCCTCGCCGCCTTCAATTCTTTCCCCCACACATTCCCCGCTCCCCCCCTGTCTCTTCAGGTCTGAGGGGCATGGGACTGGGTGCAATAACCCTCGACTGGGCAACCATGTCGGCCTTTCTCTCCTCGCCCCTCGCCGCCCCCTGGTTCGCCATCCTCAACGTCGGAATCGGCTTCGCCCTTTTCGTCTACGTCCTCGTGCCCATCTGCTACTGGGGCAACGTCTTCGCCGCCACCCGCTTCCCCTTCCTCTCCTCTGGAACCTACCAGTGGTCGGGGGAACGATACCCGGTGCAGGCGAGTACCGTACTGCTGTTGCCCTTTTGTCCCTGTTTTACTCTACTGCTAAGATTTGGGTTCTGAGATTTACTTGCGTGGTCCGGGGATCGATACCCGGTGCAGGCGATTATCACGCCGGATTTCCGGCTTAACGAGACGATGTATTCGGAGCAGAATCTGGCGCCGTACATATCGGTGTTCTTTGCGCTGTGCTACGGTCTGGGGTTTGCCGCGCTGACTGCCACGGTGGTGCACGTGGCGCTGTGGTATGGGCCGGAGATCTACCAACGGACGATGAGTGCTGGTAGGTGCGGATGGGTGCGGATGGGTGTGGTGATGTGCTGTGTACAGATAGTATGGAAGGTCTACCAGCGGACAATGAGTGCTGGTGGATAAAGGGCTGGGTGGGGGGGTGACAAATGTATAATTGGCATGTCATGGATGGATGCGTGTTGCGCTGTGGTATGGGCCGGAAATCTACCAGCGGACAATGAGTGCCGATGGGTGCGGAGCGGATGGGTGTGGTGTGGTGCGGTGGTGTGGTATGGTATGTGCATATGCTAGTGGACGATGAATGCTTGTGGGTGGTGGGACTGGGTGGATGTCTGCAATTCTATCCGTGTGAAGACCTATGATCTATCTGAGGGACATGACTAGAGGTAAATGAGGGAGATTGGCAGTGCGAAACTGGTATGCGGGCGGGAGTCACAGATGTTGTTTATCAAATAGGTTCAAGAGATCTTAAAATTACCCTGCAGCTATGTGGTATGTGGTGATAATCACAGCACAGATGTGGTTTATTGATATTTCTGTCAATTCTCTCCCCACCCACCCCTTCACCAACCCCTCCATCTCCCCACCACCCAACCCTCCTTCTCTCAGCCACGGAGGTAAAGCCAGACGTGCACACGCGGCTGATGCAGCGCTACCCCAAGGTGCCCTGGTGGTGGTTCCTCATCCTCCTCCTCGTCAACATCGCTGTCTGCATCGCCTTCCTCGAACTCAACTCCTACTTCCAGCTGCCCTGGTGGGGCCTGCTGCTCTCCGCTGCTCTCTCCCTCTTCTTCACCCTGCCCATCGGCATAGTCACCGCCACGACCAATCAGCAGCCGGGGCTCAATATAATCACGGAGATGATCTGGGGGTATATCCGGCCCGGGGAGCCGATTGGCAACGTGTGTTTCAAGACGTATGGGTACATTAGTATGACGCAGGCAATTGCCTTCTTGCAAGACTTCAAGCTCGGACATTACATGAAGGTGAGCGAATTCTTGACTATTTGTTCGGTTTGTTTGTTTGTTTGTTTTTTTTTTTTTTTTTTCGTTCTTCCGTTCGATATTTCGCTGTTGTTGATTTTTCCATTTTATTTTCTCTCACAACTAGAGCATTTGTTGAATGTTTGCAGATTTTCCGACTTCGCCACACACTTGCTTCGTTTTCACACACTGCATCTGCCCTGTGCATAGCTGCTGGTATCTTTCAAACCAATTCTTTCCCACTCTGCCCACTTTCTGCATGTGTGTGTGCATGTGCATGTGCATGTGCATATGCATGTGCATGTCCGTGTCCATACATGCGTGCATATCCCACCACAAGCCATGTTAGCAGTGCAGGTGTTCGCCACTCTCTTATTGTGGGAATGGCTGAATGGAGTTGTAACTGTCCGACTTATTTGATCTCTCCCACTCTGCCCACACTCTACATGTGCACGTGCCTGCGCTTTGCATGTACATGTGCATGTGTGTGCACTGTGCATGCATGCATGCACACGTGCAGATCCCCCCAAGAGCTATGTTTGTGGTGCAGGTATTCGCCACTCTATTGGCGGGCCTGGTCAATCTCGGCACGTCCTGGTGGCTCTACGACACAGTGGAGAATGGGCTCATCTGCAAGGTGGGAACGCACTGCCGTGCCTGTCCCCGCTCCTTGGTCTCTTTCTGATTCCAAGTAGCCTCAAAATGCAGGGTGTGAAACGGTGGCTCTACGACACAGTGCAGAATGGGCTCATCTGCAAGGTGGGAAGGAGGAAGAGACTTTCTTGCCTGCTCCCTCTTGCTGGTCCCTCATGAGTCAACTCAAGTCCTGGTGGCTCAACGACACAGTGCAGAATGGGCTCATCTGCAAGGTGGGAAGTCAGTGCTCTGACTGTCCCTTGTGAGAACAAGTCACTGCCCTGCCGGCCACTTTTGAGAAGTCTCACAAGTCACTACCCTGCCCCCGCTCCTTGGTCCCTTCTCAGTCGCCTTAAAAGCCCTGGGGGCTCGACAGCACCGTTGAGAATCGGCTCATATGCAAGGTGGGAAGGAACGCCATTAGGTGCCTTAACTGATCGTCTCTTCTTTGAGACGCCGCAGAAGCTCGACTCGACGACACCGTTGAGAATGGGCTCATATCCAAGGTGGGAAGGAACTTTTGAAGCGCCCCGCTCTTTTTTCGAGCGCCTCGAAAGTGTGTGTATAAAGCGCCTCACAGTTCATCTGTTTGCTTTGAGTGCCTTCGAAGATGTACGACACTGAAGTGGAGATTGGGCCTGCCTGCACGGTGGGAAGGAACAACCCCGTCTGACCGCTGCTTCATCCCACCCACCATCATTCAGTGCCTCTTCTCACATGTGCCCACCTCCACATCTCTTCCATTTGAGCATACTATCCTCCCTTCTACCTCCCCTCCTTTCAAACCCCCATTCCCACACAATCCCCTACTTTTCCACCCTCCCTTCCACCCCACCTCCCGCCCTCCCAGTTAAACGATGAAAACTTTGGAAAATTCCATGTAGACGTGCCCCACGGCAAACGTCTTTTACTCAGGGTTCATCATCTGGGGGCTGATCGGCCCCGAGCGCATGCATGTTCCTTGCCACAACTTAGCTTAGCACCCATGGCTCGATGACCAATGCTGGTCTGCATGCCATCCCCTCCCACCCTTTCCCTGCACTCCCCCTCTCCGCTCCCCCTCCTTTCTCCCCGTGCTCCCCTCCCCTCCTCCATTCCCTGAACCAGGTCACTGACGAAAACTTCCCGGAGAATTCCCCATGGACGTGCCCCACAGCCAACCTCTTTTATTCCGCGTCCATCATCTGGGGGCTGATCGGTCCCGAGCGCATGTTATGTTCCTTGCCACACGTTTCACTCCACCCATGGCTCAATAACAAATTCCCGTTTGCAATTTTCTCCATTCCCTGAAACCCCCCTGTCCTCTCCTCCCCCTGCCTCCACATGCTCCCCTCCTCGTTTCCAATGCAGGTCACCGATGAAAATTCCCCGTGGACTTGCCCCTCGGCCAATGTGTTCTATTCCGCGTCCATCATCTGGGGGCTCATCGGCCCCGAGCGCATGTTCTCTATTCAGTGTTCCTTGTCGCGCCATATCAACAACGGTTCAATAACCAAATCCCGTCTGCATCTAATCCCTTCCTTTCCCTTCACCTCCCCTCTCCCCTCCTCCTCCTTTCTCTCCGTCCTCCCTTCCCCCATTCCCTGAACCAGGTCACTGATGAAAACTTCCCGGAAAATTCCCCATGGACGTGCCCAACAGCCAACGTGTTCTATTCAGCGTCCATCATCTGGGGGCTCATCGGCCCGGAGCGCATGTTTGGCCCCTCGGCCTTCTACAACAACCTCAACTGGTGGTTCCTTGGAGGGGCCCTCGCTCCCATCCCCTTCTGGGCCGCTCACAAGATGTGGCCGCGCCAGGTGGTGAGTGAGACGTGGAAGGCAGATGGTGGGTTGGAGGAGACACGTGGTGGGATGATGAAGAGGGAGGGTGGCTGTGTTTGACTGGGGTACCTTGTGTGAGTGCGTCCATCATATGGGGGCTGATCGGCCCCGAGCGCATGTTTGGCCCCTCGGCCTTCTACAACAACCTCAACTGGTGGTTCCTTGGAGGGGCGCTCACTCCCATCCCCTTTTGGGCGGCGCACAAGATGTGGCCGCGGCAGGTGGTGAGTGAGATGATGCAGAGAGAGGGTGGGTTGGTGGAGATAGATGGTGGGATGTTGCAGAGAGAGGGTGAGTCAATGCAGACAGCTTGTGAGTTGATCAAGAAAGGTGGTGAGCTGGCAGAGACAGCCAGTGGGTTGGCAAAATCGGTTGGTGGTCCTGGGGTGAACCCTGTCACATGTCACATCTATTTAGAGGTGGGCCTTGATGGCTTGGCTTCGGCAGGTGGTGAGATTTTGGGGACAGAGGTTGAGTGAGTGGACCATAGTTGGCAGTTGCGGATATTTCTCCGTGACGTATGGAGAGTGGCTCTGTGGCTGATTCTAAAGTGTTGAAAATCAGAACATGTGTTAGGCCGTGGCTATGTACCATGCTAAGCACCTCCTTTATTTGATGCCTGTCTCACTCCCTTGTCGCTTGCAGTGGTTGACCAAGGTGCATATCCCAGTGATGCTTACTGGCGTGGGCATGATGCCGCCGGCTTCGCCCATCAACTACCTGGGCTGGCTCACCATGGGCTTTATCTTCAACAAGCTCATCTTCACTTACCGAAAGGTGCGGTACATGCCTCTGATTGGTCTACTTTCTAGTATTAACATTGCAAGTACATTCTTGTGACAGCTTGGTTCATTCATATTCCATCATTAACAGGGAAAGGATACGGTATGCATTTTGTCTGTATCTGACTCTTGCTTTTGCTTACCACCGGCTCTCCTTTTCATACTTTTCCAGGATTGGTGGCGTCGCTACAACTACGTGCTGTCTGCAGCACTTGATTCTGGAGTCATGTTCATGGCACTTTTCATATTTTTTGGGGTTCAGGTTGAAACCCCTTCTGTTTCCCTCTCCTGGTGGGGTGCTGGCGTAACATCTTCTGATAACTGTCCGTTGGCTATGTGCGCAACTGACCCCACGGCAGTTAAATCAGCAAATTCTGCATGTCCAAATTATGTTGGTAGCTGAAGAATTCCTTACACCGTAGGGTTTGTCTGCTTCAATCTCATTCAAGTCGGTTTTTTTAATATCGTAATGATAACACAATCGTACATTCTCAATCCTGAGAGGCCTCTCTGCTCTGGCTGGCATGCATGTGCTTGCTGAAATACTGACTCACAGAAGACTCATGTGCATTCAACGCATAACACTTCACACACTGCCAAACATGTCCCCCACAGTCTGTGGAATAACTATTTAACAATGGCCATCAGTTCTTCTATGTGTCCATTTGATTGTTGGTAGCCATCATTTCCCAAGCGTCAAACGAATTCACTTCGACAGCTGGTCCACTGTTGAATAAATATATACTGTTTGATTCCCCTGTTGTTGGGTATGCCCTTGCTGTTATGACAGACTTTCCTCCTTGGGCAAAGGACTCCACAACTGAGTTGTCCACCTGAAGTGAAAAATGTTTAATATATTAGAAAATGGAGATGCTGGTTGAAGAAAGTATCTCCGCTCGCTTACTTACCAAAACTCTAAGCATGAGCCTATCCTCAGATTCCTGCAGCAGAAGCTGACTCCCATATATACTCTTCTCCGCCGTTTCTGACAATGAAGACCTGTACGCATAACGAGTCAGGCTAAGCAAGGCAGGTTCAGAAATCATGTTTCTTACCTTCTTTGGTCACTGCAGAATCGAACTTGCCATTGACCCAAAGGTCCATCACTGGCGAGCTCGAAATAAATAGATGTTTTTTCTTCCAAATTTGCTGAGGCAAGAACATGGACCCCAAATCGGCCAGCAACTTTTGAAACAGAATTTTCATCCCAACCACAGTCACTGTCAAGAGGGCGGTACTCCGTCGTGATGTTGGGAATGGCAAAAACTATCTCCATATCCACCTGCAGTCAAGAATTGTCAATAATCGAACGAACACTCCGTGGAAAGCCTTCAAAGCGTTCAATTACCTGCATGCTTGTAAGGCCGTTGACAAGCTTGTTCATCCCCTCCTTTAGTGTGAGGCCAGCATCATGTAAGTGTCTTCCTCGCAAAAGCTTTAACTCCGCTACAGGCTCCATCAACAAGTGCTTTCCTGTTGACCTGTCCAAACTGACAACACGTGGAATAGCTTGGACTGAAGCCCAACCTTTAGATATGTCGTCATTTTGTGAATCGGACTCATTCACCCATCCCCATAAGATACGGCGATGCGTGGACGGGTCATAAAAGGTCTTTGATGCATAGAACTTCCCGTAGTCGTATCGCAGCCCATTTTGGACATCGATTTGCGGATCCACTGGAACCCAAGTTTCATTTGCTTGGCTGTAGGTTCCAATGGCATAGTAATCAAGAAAATCGTCATCAAAGGATGCCTTTAGAACGTGACGGCAAACGTCATCTTCAGAGCACGTATCCAGTCCAGCATTGCCATTCGTAGAAACAGGATATAGATCAGGACACTGCATGAGAAGGAGCTCGTTAAATTAATAGATAAACAAGAAACCCGCACATCATACTGGGACCAGAAACACGTACCTCCCACATTCCAGCTCGTCCTGGCGCCGTCCTAACCGTTTCAGGAATCTTCGACCAGTTAGTGAAGTCGTTGCTCTTGTACATGAACACGCAATCGGTCCCATTTTGCCTTGACCCAACAATCATTCGCCACACTCCGTCACTTCCCTTCCATGCGGATGGGTCTCTGAAATCGAATTTGCTAACTCCAGGAGGTGGAACGGCTATGGGATTGTAAGGGCTTTTCACCCATGTTGTGAGATAAGGATCAGATGCGTTTTCTGGAATAGCCAGGTTTTGTAGCTGCACATTATCTTTGCTGCTTCCGGTGTACAGAATAGCAGGAGTTCCGTCACTGAGAACCACAGCGGAACCCGACCATGCACCCATTACGTCATACCACTTGTCAGGGCTAATGGCCACTGGCAAGTGGGTCCACTGCCAGCGGGAGCATGTCAGTCAAGTACGACATAACAGGTATAAAACATGTTGAACCTGCTTCATACCTGGATCAGGTTGCTTGAAACTGCATGACCCCAGCTTATGTTACCCCAGACTGCTCCAAAAGGATTGTACTGATAGAATAAATGATACTGTCCCTTGTAGTACATTGGCCCTGAATGAAGACAAAATAGTAAGAAACTGACATGACGCCATAGATCCCAATAAAGCAGCGCTCACCATTCGGATCTGCATAGGAAAAACGGGGGTTTAGTCATCAAGGACACATAAGATGTTTACTAAATAGCAGCTTCTCTAGCCACTGATATACACTGACCATTCATCCAGTTCCCTTCCGGTTGAAAATGGAACGCTGTCCGTCTGTGAGGTATGCTGTGCTTAGGCGATTCATCTCTTGCTGAATAATAGGAGTTGATGAATCCACCTACGCAGCCTGCCGAAAATGCGATAAAAAGCAGGACAAATGTGCAGCATTTATCTATGCGTTCTTTTCTTTCTGAGTGAAGGAGTGGATGGCGAAGCTCTGGGAGGCTTGCCATTTGCTGAAAGCTGTCGGAAACAACTCCCAACTGATGTAGCTGACAGGCAGTTCTTGGTCTGACGGCTGCTGCTGCTGATGAAGCAATGTACGACTAAATAGGACTAGGCTGCGGGTGAAAGGCAAAGCAGGAGCAGAATGTGGTTGGCGATAGTTGATATTGGCGCATTTCGTTACGATAGGTGCGTCGCTAATACATCGACATCTATAATCGGCAAAGCAGGATTGTGGTGTTGTCTGTTGTGATTAAACAAAAAAAAAATAAAAATGTTTCAAATATGGACATTACCAGAATACGATCGAGTTACCACCATTTTACTCAAAATACAGATTATGTTTAAAAGTAGGTACAAGCGTATCAAACAAAAATAGAGTAAAGATTTGAACTACATTTGATACAAAAACATCCAGCAATAATATAATGACATTACTCTCAGAATTTTCATGTCTGGTTATCAAATAAACTTAGAGGTCATGTTCTGTCTGTTAAGAAACAGAAATCGTGTATAGCAGCAAAAACAGTTATCTATGTATGTTATTGTTAAGAGTAGTAGAAAGGATCATGTTTGCGTCTCTTTCTGGTAAAGAGCAGCTCTCAATTGACGACAGTGGTTTCAAATTTCAACTCTCGAATGATCATCGGTGACACTCACAACTTGGTGGGAGACAAGTCCTGCTGTCATTTCCACCGGCCTTTTGCAGCTGCATCGTTAAGTCATTAATCCTGAGAACCATTCAGCGTTAGTTCCTCTATTGCAATGGATATGAGTGAAGTCCAATCAAGGCTCCTATCGCAATCAGTTGAGCCGTCTGACAACTCGAGTGATGTTCTCCTTTTCGATGCTTCCAGAAATAGCCGTAGAAGCAAGAAGAAACATCCGACTGTAAAGCGGGCCGAGGAGCTGCTAAGAATGTGCAACCTGAAATTCGAGCCGGGCACTTTCGGCGTGGTATGTGGAGGAAAATTACGCCCGTTTCGCCATGCAGCCTTTTCTTGTAATTGATTAGAACCGAGTTTTTTTATGAGTTCCCAGCGCCAGCCACTACTTCGTCAGCTTATTGCCGGACTTACTACACTTGGAACTTGACTGCTGGTAAACAGGTGTTGGGCAGCTACGGGAGATGGCGATTGGTCATCGTTTGCTGTCGCATCAATCCAAGTGTTCCATTCAGTGTCCGGCTCAGCCCGACATTCCGAATGTCCGAAGCCCCCACGCTCTCAGGCTGTCGCTGCTCTTGCGACTGAGATTGTCGCGAGAATGGCGTGTGCCATCTGGCAAAGCAACTGTTCTCGTAGCTGACAGAAATATCGTGCCAAACCTTCCTGATTACTCGTCCTTACTACGCCTCCGTTCCAAACTAGCTTTTCTGTATCTCCTCCTTTCGCCATTATCACCCCTTTCCCTGCGCAGGGTGAGGTAGCCAAGGCTGTCATCTGCTTCGACATCGCCTGCCACCTGTACGCGTTATAATCTTCCCCCTACCCTGAAACACAACCCCCTCGAACAACCATCATCTTTCCCTCCCTCTCTCCCTCCCTCCAGTTTTCCGTCCCTCCGTCCACCTGTCCGTCCGTCCTTCCGTCCGTCCGTCCGTCCCTCCCTCCCTCACTCCCTCCCTCCCTCCCTCTCCCCTTCCCTCCCTCCCTCCCTCCCTCCCTCTCTCCCTCCCTCCCTCCCTCTCTCCCTCCCTCCCTCCCTCTCTCCCTCCCTCCCTCCCTCCCTCCCTCCCTCCCTCCCTCCCTCCCTCCCTCCCTCCCTCCCTCCCTCCCTCCCTCCGTCTCTCCCTCACTGCCTCCCTACATCACGCACTCCTACACTCAAGGGCTCATCCCCTCTTCTCGCTGAAATCCTCACTCTTCTTCCCCTTCTCATCCCCCCTCCCCCGTTCCCATCTCCTACTCCCTCTCATCCACCCCCCTCTTCCCTTCCCTCCCTCTCGTTCCCCCCACTCCCCCTCTCCTCCCCACCCGCCCAAGTGAGAGCGCACTTCCAACCACCCTCAAATCTATACTCACCGCCTACGCACTCGTGACACACCCACCCCTCCACCCATCTGCACGGGAACTACTCACGCTGGTGCCATGCCCTGCAATGACATTGGCAGGCTGAGCTTGGAGGTACCACAACCACCCCACGATGCACTGATGCACTCGCAGGCCGGCTGGCACTGCATGGGATGCTCGGAAAGCCTTTATGCTAAAAGGCTTGTCCTCTCCTCTCCCCCTCTCCTCCCCTCCCTTCCCACGGCTTCCCTGCCCCACTCACTCGTGTCAACGGCAAAATGGCCTTACGGTTCGATGGCAGGATGGGCAGCACAGCAGTGGATGCGCGCAAGGCAGCCAAGCTGAGCGGCATGTCTCCACCTGCATACGCCCGGGCACGAGCAGCCATTCAGAACGCTCTAGGCGTCAGGTGAGCGCAGCTGCTGGCATCAATTGCACAGCTTCAACTCAACACATCCACTGCCCAAGGCCACCACCCTGGCGTATGCCAACAACATGCGCCGCCCGGGCGCGCGCGGCCATTCAGAACCGCTCTCAGCGTCAGGTAATTTTGAGGCACAGCGCACCGCAGTCTGTTAAGCGGCGTGAGCGCAAGTGACCCTTGCCTGCCTCCGAAGTAAGACCCAGCACACGCCACAGCAGCGTGACTCCAAAGCCACAGCCACCACGTTTGTCACGCCGCTGGACCAAGCTCGGGTTGAGCCAGGTTACAGGCTTCACGGTTGTGTACGTATGCCCTTCTCTACGCATGTCCCATCGGCCGTTTTGCCATGTGCATTTCACCACATGCCTCTCAGCTGTACTATTCTGTGCGCTGTGCCTGTGCAGGTCGCAGTTGAGCCTGCCCCAGTTGGCCCTTCAGTTTGGGTGCATGCGGGTGCTGGAGTCCACCCAACGCAACCTGCATGTGTGAGTCCACTCAACACAACCAGTTCATGTGAGGAAGGGGAAAGAGGGTGGTTGGGGGGGGGGGGGGGGGGGGGGGGGGGTGTGGGGGGGAAGAGGGGGAAAATTGAGCCATGGAGAGCGGGTGGGCATGCCAGTGCTGTGGGATGAGGAGAAGCAGTGCCGCGGTGTGTGTGAGCCATCCACAATAAGGCTGTTGGACCACCACACGTGTTTTCCTTCTCGATTCGTTTCTCACTAACTGTCTTCCTCCACCCTGCCCCGTCCCCCTGCCCCTCTCCCCTGCCCCATCCTCCTGCCCCTTCCCCCCCGCCTCCTACCCTCTGCTCACCCCCTTGCCCCACTACTGCCATGGCGTGGGCATCTCAGCTTCACCGCGCGCTTCACTGCCGCCCTCCCAGAGGCACGGAGGGGCGGCACTGACTTCTCCCGGCCGGCATACCTGGCAGCAGCGCTCATGCTCACAGCCACACGCAACCAGGTACTCTATGGGCTTCGTTTGAATCGACTCGCATCGTTTGAGGCGACTCAAAACTCACTCATGGTAGAGGTGCTCATACTCACCTCCACACGCAACCAAGTATGCCATGGGTTTTTCATGTTGTCTTGTGCAGACACAAGGGATATTCTTTGTGTGAGATTCTAGTTGCCGTGTGCCTATGTGTACCCACTTACCAGTGTGTATCTGTCTTCATAACCATTGGTGTGTGTACGTTTGCATGTCTCATGTTCATGCATGCTTGAGTCTCTGTATGCGCGTGTGCTTGGCATGCGCATGGGTATGTGCATGTGCATGTGCGTCTCACACATGCATGCGTGTGAACATGGGAACATCAAATTCAGTTGAAGATGGATGTGGACAGGCTGCTGGAAGCAAAGCATGTGGGCAAGGACGAGTTTCAGCAGGTACATGCATCTCCCATGCACCAGTGCCTAATGTGTTCAACACTGCTTGTGCACTTGCTTGTGGTTTCGTCTCTGTCGTCTGAGCTGTGTTCAGATTGCATTCACAAGCCCCTGCACGCCGCATCTGTATGCAAGCACAGCGTCCCCCCTGTGTCACACTTCTGAGGCGCCACTATAATGCAATGTGGCTAATCCGCCCTGTGCTACACTAATGAGGGGACCTCTATAGTGCGTCGCGGCACAGCCATCATGTGTTCATGCCAAGGTTCAAAATTACGGTTTTCGTAAAATACGGTCCGTTTTTTACGGTCGTTTTTTACGGTGATTTTTCAAAAAAACGGCCGTTTTTTTGTTAGAGAACTCTGTTCACCAAGAAAAAAGAGAGAAAAACAAGGTCACAAACATTTTCAATCATGCCAACAAGCGCATACATGCAAAAAGGGGTCCATCCCCTTCATGCTGCTGCATTTCGGGTTCAATTTGGTCCCACTAAGTGGCCGTTTTGTTAGTAATAGAGGAAACGCCTCCTGGAACCGTTTTAAACCGTTTTTTACGACCGTTTTTTACGGTACCGTTTTTTACGGTAAAATTTCAATAAAACGGTCGTTTTTTTTAACCCTGGTTCATGCCGCCATGTGCAACATGGCACATACGGAACGTCCAATGTTTGTTCACGCCACAATGTGCACCCTCCCTGCGCCATCAGGTGGTGGCGTGCATGGAGGCCCACTGCGCTGACCTATTTGGGTCGTCCCACAGCTGCCCCACACCCAGCAAGGCACAGGAGCACTCTTTGCCACGCCAGCACCCACCAGTACAACATCAACTGCAGCATCAACACGGCCGCCAGCAGCAGCAGCAGCAACCGCAGCAGCGGAACCAGCAGCAGCGCAATGACGTGCACCGAAGCTTAAGTAGCTCCTTCCGTGAGCCAACATTGCGAGCCTCACGTGATGCAGCGACAGTAGAAGGTGCCGGGAGAGCTGAAGGCGTAGCAAGAGGAGAAGGAACGCGTGGGGCAGCTGAACGGGATGAATCACTGCCAGTCAGGCACGCCCAGAGGGTGAGTTGCAGAGCATGCCATGGGCTGCATACGATGCGGTGCGTGGTGGTGCATGTCGCGCCGTGCATCTACGGGCTTATAACATGACATGCCTGTTTGTATGGCGTTTGATCTGCTGGTGCATCGCATATTTGATCCTGGTGGCATGCTGCATGTGGCATGGGGATTGATGGGGCATGGGGATTGATGGAGTACGGGAAGGAGTCCTAGAGGCGTGAGTCATGGTACTGCAGCATGTGTCGCTTGGGGTGATGCAATACATGTCGCACATGAGTGGGACTTGCAAGGTCATCTATGGTGGCATGCATGTAGAGCGTCTCCATTGGTTGTGCAATTGGTTGCTGCATGTATTTTCGCACATGTACGTATAGAACATGGAACATATAACGAGCACTTCATTGTGGTTTCATGTTTGTTGTACTGCACAGGAACAGTGCACATCTCATGCTGACGTGGCACACCTGCACAGAAAGCAGCACCAGCAGCATGTCCCTGCCGCTGACGTGGCAGAGCAACAGCGGAGCACTACATCAGCTGAAATGGCACCACAGCAACAGGCTGTTGCCAGCAACAGCAACAGCACCATGCCAGTGCCCCAAGCCAAGCTCACACTCCTAAAGAGACCCTCAGGTATGCAAGATGTGATTTGCTCGGAAAGATCCATATTATATAGACACATGTGACATGCCCCTCTCTATGTTGCCTCAGTCCCCATGTTCTTCCCATCAAACCACCATGTCGTCCACTCGTGTCCTGGAGGCAGTGGTGTCATTTGAGTCAACAATAAGTCTGTCTATCTCATGTTGTTTGTCTCGTCAACCCTGTTCATGTCTTCTTGTTCGCTCAGGCCATTCAGGGAAGCTGTGTCAGGCCAAGCTGCTCTTCAAGCGCGTCAAGACTGCAGCTGCCTAGGAGAATGTCTCTAGGTAGCATTGCTGGGGCACAGACCGGGTTTCGTTTTTGTATATTTTATTTCTTCCTTTTTTTCATTTGCTCTGTGTTTCGCCGTTACTCAACTGTACTGCCAAGCTCCTAGTGAAGCTCCTTCAACGAATGATTGAGAGAAGCAAAGATATTGAAAGAATATAACCGTAAGATATTAAATTTCTGTAACCAAACTTGCTGATGTGAAAGTGAAGCAAGAGAAGCAGCTTTGCGGGGACAGAATGTTTGTCGGGCTCGGCTCGATTCACAGCAAGGAAGGTCACAACAAGTCAAGGCTGACGGGATGGAACGGAATGTACAGTTCGTGTAATTGAAAATCGGCTATGTCGCACGCGAACCGCGATCTCGACCGACCAATCGCCGCCACCGCCTCAGCCTGGCCAACAAACTCTCGTGTGTGACTTCGCGACAGTTTCCTTGCGATCGAACTTACTTCGCATGTTGCGATTGAACCGCGAGTTGCCGATATTTTCGTCGCCAGTGAAATGCTGCATGGCGAAGTCACTCCACCGCTTCCCGCACCGCATGTCGGCCAATGTTGACGCGCTCCCAGCCAGCCTCTCTCTCTCCATTCGGTATAAATTGCGTTTCGTGCATTGCCTATCCTTCATCAAATCCATTCGTGCCCCTTAGACTCCTCCCTTTCACTTACATTCAGCTTCAATTTTGATTCGACAGCAATCCAGCCAGATGCTTCCAGCCTCAATTTTTTGCAACGCTGCGATCTCACAATTTCTTAGCGATAATCGTGCCCATATTCACGAAAGATGGCCAGCCTTCGATCCATTCCTCTGTTCGGCCTGCTCTGCATCGTGCTATGCTTCGCCACCGCTCTCGCACAGGCGCAGCCTACCAAGGCACAAATAAAAGCCGAGCTGCAGAACATGGCGAACGCAATTACCAAGTCGTACCCGCAGTACGCTAAATACGCCAAGGACATCAACAAGTACATCGGCCTGGCATGTAAGAGTTTTACTTCTACATTACTTTCTTACTACCACGGTTAGCCTCGCGCCTTCATTGTTCAGAACGCCAGCAGAATGTTTCCATATGGAATCGTTAGAAAGGTATGGCAGGATACCTGTGGCTATCACGCTCCCCTCACCGTTCTTGTAGCCAGAAGTTACATTTCGTTGTGCCGATTGAGAGTACATTCCGCACATTTCTTCCTGCGTTCAAAGTTAAGCACTCTTCTCGGATTCGCGCCAGATGCCGAACCGTTTTTTTTTCGTCTTCTCTCCCTCATGCGCCACCTTGCCCCCCTTCCCTCTCTTCCGATCTCCAGTGAATTCCAAGTACGATTTCACAGCTCTCAGCGACGCAACCCTCCTACTCCCCAGCGACACGGAGGCCCAGGCCCTCGCTAAGAAGGTTCCGGCTAAGAACTCCAACATCCCCAAAATTTACAACATCACCGCGTATCACATCATTCGCAAGAAGTACACCGTTCCCGCGCTCAAGGCGCTCAAGAAATCGCAGCCGCTGGGCACGCAGCTGAAGCAGGCGATGTACAAGGTTTCGGCGCAGAATGGTAACACCGTTTCCTTCGCCAAGACCCCCAACGCGCCCCCTGCCGCGTGGACGACGGTCCAGATCGTGAGGCTATACGCTGGACCGTACTTCATTGCCCACGGCGTGGATAAAGTCCTGATTCCCACTTACACCACGGTGTAATTATTCAGGTTACCTGAACGTGACTCGGTTATTGATTGACAGTCAGTCATGCTGCTGGTTCAACCTCTGAACTAGGGATGACTGGAGGTCAACTGAGCATCAAGGCATGTTTCCAGAGGGCTGTGTGATGCAAGTTATGAAGATGTTACTGTGTATAGCGATCAACTCTGTATCACCTTTAATATAGTCCTTATTTTCAGGTGTTCAATCTCTGGACACAGGATGTCTGTGATTTCTCTAAGGAGGTTCAGAATCCTGCCGAACCAGAGATCCACCAAGATTCCAGCCAGCCCTCGGTGCGCTTTTTCAAAGCCATACGTTTATTCCATCTTCAAACGCGTCTAGACTGAAGCTAGCTATGGGGATGTAAGAAGTTAAGACATCAGAATTAGAAGTAGGCTTTCCACAGCTAATAATAATGTAACAAAGGTAGTAGTATTTCAAGTGTAGATGAAAATATTGAATAATTTACACACTTTTACATCTACAGATTGCATTCTGTAACAGGGCAAGGGTCTGCTGCACCCTAATCAATGACCACACTGTGAGCTTCCATATCTTGGAGTTGGAGACCCACAACTTGTCACTCGCCCTGGAGCACAAATAAAATCCTGACTTCCTGAACACCCCTTAGTTTACTCTCTCGTCTTTTGTGGACCCAGCTACGGTATTCCCTCTGCTCCTCACCCCCTCTTCTCTTCTTCACCCCCTCTGCTCGTCACCCCCTCTGCTCGTCACTCTCTCCATACAAACTGCCTGTGGTGCTCTAGGTGGAACAGAGATCGAACGGAGAAGTCATGCGTCCAACCGAAACCGAGCAGCCCATGCCTTGAAGCCCAGGGGAGACTTCGTTGTGAGATCTTTGTCTTTCCCTTTTCATGACGGGATGGATTTAGAGTCTAGATTTTAGAGTGAACCATTTTCATTGTGCACTGTTTTCTTTTCTATTCCTGCCTTCACACGTGCTCCTACCTTTCTTTCGGCCCGGCACTGCAGATGTAGTCGTCGCTGCACCTCGCAGTGCGGAACCCGTGCCTCAGCCGCACAATGTCATTCGTGAACGTGGAGTGGGCTGTGCCCAGAAAGCCTGCACCCAGCGCGCACACCAGCTTCTCTAGTGTAGCGGCGGCTTGCGGGGTGGTCTTGAGGTTGATGCCCTGGGAGAAGGAGGGGGAATGGGGGTTGACAAGAGTAAACGATAGTGTATGGAAGGGGAAGGCACAGCACCCAGCGCGCACAGCAGCTTCTCTAGTGTGGCGGCGGCTTGAGGGGTGGCCTTGAGGTTGATGCCCTGGTGAGGTGGGAGGCTTATGGGAAGGGGAAGATAGTTTTGGAGGAGAGGGCACAGCACTACGTAGAGGTGAGGTGGGAGGCTTTTCCAGAGTGGTAGCAGCTTGTGGGGTGGTCGAGGTTGATGCCCTGGAGGAGGTAGAAAGGGGGAGGGGTGGGAGGGTTGGGGAGGGGTTAAAGGGAGTTGACGATAGAGGGAGGCACAGCAGCCAGCACGCTGAGAAGCTTCTTCAAAGAAGCTGTTTCCTGAGGTCAACGCCTTGGGCGGTTGCGAGGAAGACGACAAGGAGCAGTCTTCACCAGCCATCACCAGCCATCACCAGCCACCACCAGCCCTCACCAGCCTTGACCGTGTCAAAATGCCGAACCTGAGTTGCTTGTGAGACTTTTCGAAAGAAACAGTGCAAGCTGCTGCCAACTCACATTCTCCAAAAGGGATTGAAGCCACAAGCTGCTGTCCTCTTTAGAGAGCAGATGCGCTAGCGTTACAAGCTGCACTGCACTACTGCTGTCAGGGCTGCTGCTGTTGCTGCTGCTGTTGGCAGGCTGCTGCTCATCAAGCGGTGAAACCTCAACTCCGCTTGAACCACCGGGCAGCATGCGGCGAGCAATCCCAGGCATCGACCGCTGAGTTCGTGGATCCAACGACTGAGAATCGGACCCAGATGGCTGGGCAACCCCCTGCAACGAACGTGGTTCTTTGGCTGGCAGTGGCAACTCCTCTGCGAATCTGCCCAGCATTCTTCTTCTTTCAAGTGGCTTAGAAACTGGCTGTCCCTGCTCCACTGCAGCAGCAGCTGTAGCAGCAGAAGCAGCACCAGCACCAGCAGCAGCAGCAGCTGTAGCTGCGACCTCCAGTGGCTTTCCTTGAGGGGTCTCAAGCAGCGTTGCTGCAATGGCTGCTACCTCGTGTGGGCGGGCATTGGTGGCGAGGAAGACGAGGGGGGCACGTGCTGCCACAGCTGCAGCGCGCATGCACTGTGCTGCCTGGTCCACTGGCAGGAAACAGCCGTCCGATGGGTGCTGGTGGGAGGGTGGTAGAGAGAGAGCGGAGCGAGGAATGCGAGAGATAGGATGGCATGGGACCGGACGGAGTAAAGGACGAAATGGGATGGGATGCAATGTGATAAGATGGGATGGGATGGGATGGGATGTGATGGGATGGGATATGGGATGGGATATGGGATGGGATTTGGGATGGCATGGCATGGGATAGGATGGGATGGGATGGGATGGGATGGGATGGGATGGGATGGGATGGGATGGGATGGGATGGGATGGGATGGGATGGGATGGGATGTGATGGGATGGGATATGGGATGGGATATGGGATGGGATTTGGGATGGCATGGCATGGGATAGGATGGGATGGGATGGGATGGGATGGGATGGGATGGGATGGGATGGGATGGGATGGGATGGGATGGGATGGGATGGGATGGGATGGGATGGGATGGGATGGGATGGGATGGGATGGGATGGGATGGGATGGGATGGGACGGGATGGGATGGGATGGGATGGGATGGGATGGGATATGGGATGGGATGGGATGGGATGGGATGGGATGGGATGGGATGGGATGGGATGGGATATGGGATGGGATATGGGATGGGATGGGATGGAATGGGATGGGATGGGATAGGATGAGATGGGATGGGATGGGATGGGATGGGATGGGATGGGATGGGATGGGATGGGATGGGATGGGATGGGATGGGATGGGATGGGATGGGATGGGACGGGATGGGATGGGATGGGATGGGATGGGATGGGATAGGATGAGATGGGATGGGATGGGATGGATGGGATGGGATGGGATGGGATGGGATGGGATGGGATGGGATGGGATGGGATGGGATGGGATGGGATGGGATGGGATGGGATGGGATGGGATGGGACGGGATGGGATGGGATGGGATGGGATGGGATGGGATATGGGATGGGATGGGATGGGATGGGATGGGATGGGATGGGATGGGATGGGATATGGGATGGGATATGGGATGGGATGGGATGGAATGGGATGGGATGGGATAGGATGAGATGGGATGGGATGGGATGGGATGGGATGGGATGGGATGGGATGGGATGGGATGGGATGGGATGGGATGGGATGGGATGGGATGGGATGGGATGGGATGGGACGGGATGGGATGGGATGGGATGGGATGGGATGGGATAGGATGAGATGGGATGGGATGGGATGGGATGGGATGGGATGGGATGGGATGGGATGGGATGGGATGGGATGGGATGGGATGGGATGGGATGGGATGGGATGGGACGGGATGGGATGGGATGGGATGGGATGGATGGGATGGGATAGGATGAGATGGGATGGGATGGGATGGGATGGGATGGGATGGGATGGGATGGGATGGGATGGGATGGGACGGGATGGGATGGGATGGGATGGGATGGGATGGGATATGGGATGGGATGGGATGGGATGGGATGGGATGGGATGGGATGGGATGGGATGGGATGGGATATGGGATGGGATATGGGATGGGATGGGATGGAATGGGATGGGATGGGATAGGATGAGATGGGATATGGGACATGTGATATGGGATATGGATTATGGGATGGGATGGGATGGGATGGGATGGGATGGGATGGGATGGGATGGGATGGGATGGGATGGGATGGGATGGGATGGGATGGGATGGGATGGGATGGGACGGGACGGGACGGGATGGGATGGGATGGGATGGGATGGGATGGGATATGGGATATGGGATATGGAATGGGGTGGGATGGGATCGGATGGGATGGGATATGGGATATGGAATGGGGTGGGACACATCGTACCTTCTTGCGGCAGTAGTCCTTGAAATCCCCCCTCCTGAACTGCACTGCCAGGAACTGGCCATCGAGCAGGTGGTTTTGCACTATGTGGCGCGCTACTGCTATGAGCGCCTCAGGGGGCTGTGGAAGCGGGGGTGGTGAAGAGGACGAAGAGTTTTGAGACGTTTCAAAGCAAGAGAACATGAAAGAAGGAGGGAAAGGGGGAACCAGTCACTCAGAAGATGGTGCTGCACTATGTGTCATGGTACAATCCTTCACCAAATGGCAATCTCTCATCAGCATTGCAATCCCTCACCCGAATGGCGGGAGACGAGAGGCATGTTTCTCGCGGCACCACCTTCCCGGGTTTGGCCTTCCCCCTCTGCTTGCCCAGTGGTGGGGGCAGCAGGAACGGGAGGTCCATTGGGGCGAGCATTCGGAAGAAGATGGAATCCGTGATGGGTTGCTGGAGGGAGAGGGGGGAAAGGCGTGGGGGGAGGGCATGGTGGAAGGAGTTGAAAAAGGTGAAGGCACCGAGGGAGCAGGGATGGGAGGTCCATGGGAGAGAGCATGTGGAAGCAGATGGGGTCCGTGATGGGTTGCTGGGGGGTTGGAGGGGAGGGAGGAGGGAAGGATAGGAACATGGCCATGGGATAGGTGTAGGGAGTTTTGAGCTCTGAAGGGATGTTGAATGTGCTGTATACGATGGGATGTACACAAAGGTTGACACCATGGACGAGGGGTCAGACTAGGACAGGACATATCAGGTGGCATATCAGGTGGCATATTAAATGCATGATCAGGTAGGTGGCATATCAAATGGCATCATGAGGTGGCATCAGCAGGCACAGTGGTCACAGAGAGAGAGACAGAGAGAGACAGAGAGAGACAGACGAACGCACCTTCTTGAACTCGCCAATCACCAGGACACCATCCGGCACTCGGCTGTACACCTTGACGAACGCTGCCAGGAGAGGTTAAGAGGGTTGTGGTTGAGAGGAGAGCGGTTGAGAGGGGTGTGGTCGAGAGAGGCGTGATTGATTAGGGGTGCAGTTGGGATGCGATGGCATGGCATGGTGTTGCATGTTCAAGAGGGAGAGGGAAGCACGTGACGAGGTTTGTTCGAGCACAAGACTGCTCTGTGTGTGCCCACATGGATGTATCACATCACAAAAGCCTCTTTGCGAGCATGCTACGTCTGATCGATTCATACGACACCACACCACACCACACCACACCACACCACACCACACCACACCACACCACACCACACCACACCACACCACACCATGCAACAGAAAACGCCAGCCCACCTTGCAGAGAGTGTTTGTCCGGCAGGCCCGACCACGCCCACTGCTCCACTGCCGGCACCGACACGTTTGCCAGGCTGATGCGCCCCTTGCTCGCCTTGAACTGCCCGCCTGGTGCTGCAGGAGAGGAGGGGGGTAGTGGGTAGACTTTTGAGGTGACTCAAACACGTTTGCCAGGCTGATGCGCCCCGTGCTCGCCTTACATTGCCCTCCTGGTGCTGCTGCCTGAGGGTGGCGCGGAGAGAAGGGAAGGGGGGAGGGGAAGGGGAGAAGGGTGAGAAGGGGGCAATGGTCGTGGTCTCAAAACCGTACTGTTCTACACGGGTAAATATTAAAGTGACTCGAAAACATCTGCCAGGCTGAAGTGCCTCTTGCTCGCCACGAATTGCCAGCCTGGTAATGCTTCCCAGGGTTCGCGTGGAGGACAGGGAGGAGGAAGGGAAAGGGGAGAAGGTGCGTATCTGATAATCACTTTCCCCAGTGCGGCCATGTTCCCCCCCTTTGCAGCCCTGTCCCCACCAGTGCAGCCCTGTCCCCACCAGTGCAGCCATGTTCCCCCCAGTGCAGCCATGTTCCCACCAGTGCAGCCATGTTCCCCCCAGTGCAGCCATGTTCCCCCCAGTGCAGCCATGTTCCCCCCAGTGCAGCCATGTTCCCCCCAGTGCAGCCATGTTCCCCCCAGTGCAGCCATGTTCCCCCCAGTGCAGCCATGTTCCCCCCAGTGCAGCCATGTTCCCCCCAGTGCAGCCATGTTCCCCCCAGTGCAGCCATGTTCCCCCCCTTTGCAGCCCTGTCCCAGCCCCTGCCCCTGTTCCCCCCCCCCCTGCAGCCCTGTTTCCCCCTCCCCTGCAGCCCTGTTCCCCCCTCCCCTGCAGCCCTGTTCCCCCCTCCCCTGCAGCCCTGTTCCCCCCTCCCCTGCAGCCCTGTTCCCCCCTCCCCTGCAGCCCTGTTCCCCCCTCCCCTGCAGCCCTGTTCCCCCCTCCCCTGCAGCCCTGTTCCCCCCCCCCCTGCGGCCCTGTTTCCCCCTCCCCTGCAGCCCTGTTCCCCCCTCCCCTGCAGCCCTGTTCCCCCCTCCCCTGCAGCCCTGTTCCCCCCTCCCCTGCAGCCCTGTTCCCCCCTCCCCTGCAGCCCTGTTCCCCCCTCCCCTGCAGCCCTGTTCCCCCCTCCCCTGCAGCCCTGTTCCCCCCTCCCCTGCAGCCCTGTTCCCCCCTCCCCTGCAGCCCTGTTCTCCCCCCTTGCACCCCTGCCCCCCTTCCCTGCAGCCCTATTCCCTCGCATGACCCGCTCACCAGCGTCAGGCACGAGGTGGCAGCCCTTGACGAGGCACAGCACGTGGGTTACCTCCATGCTGCCCCTGCCCACCTGCCGGGGTTAAGGTGGGGGGTTGGGTGGGTGCCGAGACAGATGTTGAGACAGGGCCAGGGGCACGAGGTGGCAGGGGCACGAGGTGGCAGGGGCACGAGGTGGCAGGGGCACGAGGTGGCAGGGGCACGAGGTGGCAGGGGCACGAGGTGGCAGGGGCACGAGGTGGCAGGGGCACGAGGTGGCAGGGGCACGAGGTGGCAGGGGCACGAGGTGGCAGGGGCACGAGGTGGCAGGGGCACGAGGTGGCAGGGGCACGAGGTGGCAGGGGCACGAGGCGGCAGCCCTCACAAGGCACAGCACGTGGGTGACCTCCATGCTGCCCCTGCCCACCTGCCGGGGGTGAGACGCGGGTGGTCAGGGCAGGGCAGGGGGGCAAGTGGGTGGTTACAACAGGGGTTGATGGTTGGCCGGGGCAGGCATGGGGGGGGAACTCTATGTGGTGTGCCAACTCCCTTGTGGTGCATGCGAGCAGCCCTGCAGCGGTACTGTTGTGGGACCGTAGCAGGCGCGCAGGACATGACAAGGGCCGCAGTCATGGCATGGCATGGCATGGCATGGGGCATCACAACAACAACGCCATGGGTGGGTGACTCACGAACTGCTTGTACTTGTCGAGAGTGAGGGCTGTCTTCGGGCCATAGCAGGCGCGCAGGAAGGGCACGTCAAACACGAGGGAGAGCGGTAGGGTCAGCTGGAAAGGGACAGAGAGAGGGGGGGTAGGCGTGGCATGGAGGTGAGGAGAGGAGTGATTTGTTGCACAGGAAGGTGCAGGAAGGGCACTCACACACGAGCGAGAGCGGCAGGGTCAGCTGGTGTGCATGGGGGGCGAGCAGCGGGCGAGAAGGGGGAAGGGAGGTGGGAAACAGCACAGTGATTTCTCTGTTGCACGGAAAGGCGCAGGAAGGCACGTCGAACATGAGGGAGAGCGGCAGGTTCAGCTGGTGGAAGAAGGTGCAACCACAGGCACAGGGCGACAGATGTAAGGTGGGAGTGAGAAGAGCAGGGAGGTGAGAAGGAGGCATAGTGCAGAGCATGTGGGAATACGACAAAAGAGAGGGAGAGCGGCATGATTATTTGGCGTGCGTGAAGGGAAAACACAGAGTGGCAGACGGAAGGTGGGAGTGAGACGGGGGAGAGGAGGTGCGGAGGTGTGGTGCATGGCAGGGATGGGAAGGCAGGGAAGGGAGAGACGAAAGAGGGGACGGAGAGAGGGGGAGGAGATATGGGTGCAAGGGATCAAACGGGAGAGAAATGACAGGAGAGAGGGGAGGCAGGGAGTGGACGGATGGAAGAGATTACTACCTTGATTCAATAGCCACAGTGCCAGACTGAGGTCAAAGAATCGATGGTACATCGATGGTACAACTACACACCTCCAATGACTCGTTAGCTCACGACCTATCAAGTCGAGCTTCTCTTATAGAGCAGGCCAGGGCTGGGCAGGGCGGGGAAGGGCAGGGCGGGGAAGGGCAGGGCGGGGAAGGGCAGGGCGGGGCAGGCTAGAGAAGAGGAGGGCGGGGCATGGCAGGGCAGGGCGGGCGGGCGGGGCAGGGCAGAGAAGAGCAGGGCGGGGCAAGTGAGCGTACCTCGTGAGGCCCCATGGGCACCACAAGCGTTCGGTTGAGAGCTCCTGCGAGCAGAGCGAACTCTCGCAGACAGAAGAGATGGTTGGACATCTGGGTGGGGTGGGGTGTGGGGGCACACAGGCAGGGGCGCATGGAGGGGCGCATGGAGGGGCGCATGGAGGGGCGATAGCAAAGCAAGGGACCAGTGGAGAAATACCCTTGAATGAATCAGTGGAGGAGAACTCTTTGATGAATCAGTGGAGGAATCTCCTTCCTTTCCCTTTGACATCACGCATGCATGACGCATGCAACTCACCCCGCCAGTGGAGCAGAGCGCCAGAAGGTATTTTCTGCCGTCGGGGCTCCACGGCGCGCCCAGCAGGGGCTCGCTGGGAATACCCCCAATCCTCGCCACGTCACCTGCCACGTCCGAAATGACGTCAGCAGCCAGGCTGGCATTGGCCGATGGGGTGATGGATTGAGGTGGAGGGTCCGCCCAACCTCTTATGGCGGTCATAGGAATGTAGAGAGCCCCCCCGGGGGATGAAGATGAGGTAGATGCGAGGGGTGTGCATTGTGCTTGTGATGCCGATGCCGATTCTGATTCTGATGCTGTTGATGGTAGTCCTCCTGACGAGGTGGCTGCTGTTGCCTCTGCTGGTAATGCTGCTGCGGGGGCTGGTAGCGACGCTGGTGACACGGAGAGCGGCGGCGACTGAGAAGGCGGTGACTGCGAGGGTGGGGACTGTGAAGGTGGGGATTCTGACGGTACTGCTACTGTCAACGATGCCAATGCTGCTGACGCCGCTGACACCAGTGGTGCTGCGAGAGACGGCACAACCGAGGGGGGCGGCAGCGACGCGAGGGCGAGTGCTTGCAGGGCAGAGGCGGCGGGGTGGACAGCAGCGGGGGTAGCACCCACCGCAGCAGCTCCAGAGCCCACGAGGGGAGGAGCATGCTGGTTCAGTGTGGCAGTGCTCTCTGGAGAGACCGAATCAGACGAGGAGGACGCGCCGCTCCCCCTTGCCTCACTGCCGCCACCACCACCGGCACCACCACCAGCACCACTGGCACCTATAGGCTCACCCGAAGTAGCAGCAGCAGCAGCAGCAGCACCGATTACAACGCGGTCACCGCTGTCCTTGCCAGGTGCAACCCCTGCTGTTTCCCACCCACTGCTGCTCGTGCTGTCGATTGCGCTGTCACTTGCGCTGCCGCTGCCACTGCTGCTACGATCTAAGTTGTCGGCAATGCCATCACCACCGCCGCCGCTGCCGCCGCCGCTGCCACTGACGTCCCGTGCCGGCCGCCAGCGGAGCGTGGCAGCGTGGTGCAGATGGGCGAGGAACGGTGACCGGCGGTTCCCACCGCCACCACTGCCGCCGCCGCTGCTGCCACTGCTGCCGCTGCTGCTGTAAGCACTGCTGCTGGGGGTTAGGTCTTTGGTGTTGGCGTTGTCACCATTGCCCGAGGTGTAACTGCTGGTGTCCGCATTGCCGGTAACTCTGGGGTCCGTGCTTTGGCTGTTGGGGCCCGTGGGAGGAAGGCTGGTGGGATCTGTATAGATTTCCCAGCCGAAGGAGCCGGCTTGGTTGAGGGAGACGAGGAGGAGCGAGCAGAGGACGAGGAGGAGGAGGAGGAACGGCAGGGCGAGGAGCGCGAGAGGCGACGAGGAGTTCTTTTCCGCCGCGTGCCACCGCCACGCGCCGCTGCCGCCGCCGCCGCCGCTGCTCTGTGGCGAACCCATCCACGATTTTAAGACGACGTGGCGCCATGGATGATTGCTTCGCGGAATCTCGAGATGCGTCGCCGGCCTCGCCGTTGTCGCCAGCATCATATGTCGCCACGCGCTGTGCGACGCGAGCATGTCGGCGGCGTCCCTGCGATCATCGTCGTCGCCGCCGGGGCTCATGACGGGTGAATGATGCGATTTCGGCAGCGTCGCTGTGAATGGTGGCGTGCGAAAAGAGTTACTATCAAAGCCCGTGGCGAAGATCGCGATGATCCATGGCACAGGCGGCTGGTTAGCGGCGAATTCCAGACGAAAACTAATGAAGAATCACTCGTGGCACCCGTGCGGGAATGTCACTTTTTAGTAACGTTTTCGCAACATATCGCCCTTCTCTTTTTCGCGAAGACGGAATGCAAGCTCGAGGGGCTGCTATGCTATTCCGACAGAACGTTCTCTCGTGATGTCAGAACGGAACCGAAAGGAAACTTTGCTGCTGTATTTTGTTCAGGAATCTAGGAGGAAGGTTAGGCAGGTACAGTAGTAGGTACAAGGGATGCTGCTGAAACGGACACTTCTCAGCCGGACACGCGTCACGACACGGTAAGTGCGGAAAGGATTACTTGACTTTTTTTATATTAAAATGAAAGAATACACCGGAGTGAGCAAGTGTATAAAATCAAATACAGTCGTAACTGTGCTCGAGGGGAACGGCGTGAGCCAGACCCCAGAGGGTACTTAGACAGGGCCACGTGCCCTACGCTTCTTGGACCAGATGGCTGCAAAGCCACTTGTCCATTTCCACTTCAGCCCATCCGCAACTGTGATGTGTCCGAACAGACGCTGTTCGTCCGCCAGAAGCCTTGCCCACTTGCTCTTCCGGGGGCCGCCCGCCCCTTTCCGAAGTTTCGTCCGTTGCTCTTTCAGGTAGATTCTTGCATGAAGATAGAAAGCCCGCTCAATTCGTCGCAGAACTCGCCGCGCTCTAAATTTCCCTCCACGAAACACTGCTTCACATCTCTCCACCCAGATCTGATGTAGCACAATAGCAGCCAAAGTTGCCTCTGGAAAAGCTGAGTCAGAGCCAGCGCGCTTGAAGAGCAGGTCGCCCAGCGAGGAGATGTGGCGAGCTGGATTCATCATGCGCAGGGCTCGCAGGATTGAGGTGGCGACCGATTGAATGACCGGGCAGGTGAAGAGGCAGTGCTCTAGGGTTTCCTCTTCACTGCAATATGGGCAGACAGGCTTGCAGCGGAGGAAGGCCACCCTCTCTCCCACCTGAAGATTGAGCCCGTGGATTCTCAACAGCACGCTACGTGGACGGTTAGGAATCACCCGAGAGTCTCTGATGGCAATGATTTCCCTCCAGTCGATCCTCTTGCCCCATCTGCTCCCCCACTTCGCCTGCTTGTTGGAGGCTCGGCCAGAACCCCAAAATTCCCTCATCTGCTTCAGTGAGAAAATCCCCTCGTTCGAGATGTACGGTAACGGTTGCTGCTGTGAGGCAGCCGAGCTAACACCTCCAGCTGCCACTAATGCTTTCCTCCAGTCCTCCGGCACTGCTTCCAACGCCTTGAGCACCAACCTCGCCGGCCCTATCTCCCCCAGTTCCGTTTTTAGTTGCTCCAGCGATTTGAAAACAAGGTCCCCATCCGCCCCAGTGCATCTCAGCTTCCCTAGGTTCCAATCCTTGAGCCGCGCTGCTGATTTCTGCCCTCCCAGTGGTGTCTTTCCATTGGGTAGAATGCGCCGGTTGAACAGGATCGGTTCACGCGCCACGTCTGCCGCTTCCTGCGCTAGAGGCCGTACACCCAACGGCGATTTCATGATGGTTTCACATATCATCTTCCACCGTGTCCCCCTGCCTGTCCAGTGGCGGATGAGGTTCTTGTGGGCCGTGAAAGAGTCCACCCCCATCGGTAGCTCCGCTGCTCTCACGATGATGTCCTTTTTCAGCAGATTGGTTTCCGTGACGAGCATCGCCGCTCGTCTTGCCGAGAGGCATGCCAACAGAATACCCGGGTCCCGCACTCCAAGCCCTCCCAGATTCCTTGGCAGGTACACCAACTCGCGGCGCCAGATTATAAATCCCTTTGCGGAGGTCGGACGGTTCGCCGAGACGAAGTTGTGGAACGATCTGTCGATCTCCAGCCAGATGTCGTCCGGCGGGGGGTAGACCTGAGCTTGGAATGAAATCTTCGGTGAGATATAGCTGTTCACCGCCGACCCTCTCGCAGTTTCCGTGAGGTATTGCTCATGCCACTTCTGCAGCTTCCCCATGATGTCTTCTAACGCCTTTTCCCACGTCGGTCTGCAGCTTCCGTTCGGCGTGATCCAGACCCCCAGAAGACGCTCTTCTTCATCCGCCGCCGCCCACTTAAAACCATCTGATGCAATAGGGTGTGAGGTGAGGTTCACTCCCAGCGGCATAACAACCGATTTCCCCTTGTTCGTCGACAGGCCGGACTCAGCCTCAAACCTGGCCAGCGCCCTAACCGCTTTCTTGATCTGACTTTTCCCTTGCAGGATGAGGGTTGTGTCATCGGCATACCCCAGGTATGCCAACCTCTGCCCCGCCAAACTGAGCCCCAGCTTCCTTTTTTTCACCAGCTGCGCCAACGGCTCCACGGCGCAGAGGAAGAGGTAAGGGGCAAGCGGACACCCTTGCCTGACCCCCGACCGCACCTGTATCCCTTCACTCAACCAGCCGTTGATTAGCAGCTTCGTCGTGGTGCCTTCGTGCAGGCCTTCCACCCAAGCCACAAAACGCTCCGGGAAGCCCATGTTCCGCAGCACCATGAAGATGAAGACGCGTGAGACCGAATCAAATGCCTTTTGAAAATCGACAAGAAGAAGATACCAGTCTTCACTGCCGTGTTTCGCCGCGTCAATAACGTCAGCGACCAGAGCCACCGCATCCGACAGCCGCCGACCAGGTATGAAACCGTATTGTTCCGGGGAAATAAATTGGTGAAGCATTTTTTTGATGCGATTCGCCACCACCCTCGCCAGTATCTTGTAGGAAGACTTAAGTAGAGTGATCGGGCGATAGTTGTTCAGGGAGTCCCGATCCCCTTTCTTGTGTAACAATATCGTAACAGCCTCCTTTGTCACTGCAGGAAGCGAAGCCGTTGAGCGAAGTTGTCAGCTAGCGCCATGAAGCTGCTTCCCAGAGAGTCCCAGTTGGCCTCAAAAAACTCCTTTGGGAGACCATCGCTGCCCGGAGACTTCCGCACCGCCATCGCCTTGAAGGCCTCCTTGACCTCCTCCTCCGACCAGTCAGCCTCCAGCTCCCTGGCGGCTTCCCATGAGAGTTTCCTGCCCGGCACTGGGACCCATTTCCTTGAACACTGCCGGCGGTCCTCCCCAAAGATACCCTCGAAGAAGTTTGCAGCAGCCCCCAAAATCCCTTTGGTGTCCGCGATAGTCGATCCGTTCACCTTCAGCTCCGCTATCTGGGTCTTAGCTTTCCGTGCCCGAATCTTCCCCGTTAGGTGTTTGGAGGCTATTTCACCAACCATTTCTTCCCTTGTTCCTGCGCAGAGGTGCATACGTTCTCTCCGCGACGCGTGGTACTCCTTCAGCTGCTTCACCTTGGACTCCAGGAGCTCACCGTGGGCGAAACCCCGAGGATCCGCCATGGCCTCCTGCTTCAGCCTGGCGACAGCGGCGGCAAGGTGGGAGGTGGTAGCGCGGACACGCTTGCCTTCCTCCCGAACATAAGACCGAAGACCGGCGTCAGTAACTCGTGTTCGCTTCACCGTAGCATCAATGATCCTCTTAACCCCCGGCCTGTTGATCATGTCAGGCGGCAACTTCCAGAGGCCTGGACCGGACTTGGCTTTCAGGTACAAACGAAGCCCAACCTTGGCGGCGAAATCGTGGTCTGAGATGGTTTCTTCTGGCATGACATGGACCGCGGTGTCAAGGTGAGGCAACAGTGAGTGCGAGAGGAGAATGCGATCTATTCTAGAGCTAGCTTCCTTCGCTCTCGAGTAGAAAGTGAATTCCTTCTTCCTCGGGTGCAGGGTCCTGAACGCGTCTGAGATCTGAAAAGCGCCGCAACGGCGAAAGAGCTTGTCGTTCTCATAGGAGGATCCGAGCTTCGAGGATTTATCAAGGACCGGATTTTCTACGAGGTTCAGATCACCAGCGATGATAAGGTGGGATGAGTGAGGAATGAGATCTAAGACCGGGCCGAGCGTGTGCGTGACGAAGTTGTTCCTGGGTGCCGAGTCAGCTGGGAAGTAGACTCCTAAGACTACAATTTCGATTCCTAACCCGTGTACACTGGCCTGCAGAATCCTACCGGACGGGTGAGCAACTACGTCTCTAAGGCTGAAGTGAGGGTTTCTACAAAGGAGCGCTACACCGCTGGCTCTAGCCGGAGCAGACGACGCGGCAATGGTAAAGGAAGTAAGAGAGCTCCAGTAAGTGTGGTTGGAGGCTAGCCTAGTGTCTGTCAGTATAACAAAGTCTGCTGCTGTCTTAGCCCAGTCCCGTGTTCTAACTTGCTTAGATCTGTCACCGAGACCGTTAACATTCAGTGTCGCGAAGGTGAGGGTGGTGGTTTTATTATCCATTGACAACAGGAAAGTGACCCCTACGCATCCACAGGGTAAATGAGGCTACAACTCCGACTGCAAAGAACACTACCGACGCTGCTGCTGAGATGCGACCGAGCCGCTGGAGTTCTGAAACCCATAGTCTTTCAAAATGACACTGAGGCTTGCCTTCTCTAAGGTGAGTCTGGTGGCTGTGCCAAGCTTCTCGAGGTGCGATAGATGATTCGCAGATCGGACATGATCGAGAGCTTCCATGAAGGACGCGCCGTGTGCCTTCTTGCATCCCATCTGAGTGCACAACCACTCCTCCCTCTGTCCCCCGGTGGAGATGAGAGCAATCGCAGGGTCTCGCAGGATGGGGAGGGTCAGCTGATTCAGCTTTACGGAGGCAGCTGCAGAGGTTCAAGGACATATTAGCGGTAAGAACAACAGCAGAGCCACAAGACAGCTTATGAGAGCACGTGAAAAATGGGTTACCATTGATCCTGTGAGCCCGACCGAGGGTCAGGTTCCATTTGCCGATGTTACCCTACCGCTCCGTGACAAAGGCATCGTGATGCTTCTCCTCGTGTTGTCCCCCACACAGCTTGCATGACAGCATCGGGTAGTGGATCAGGATCAGCTTCTCCGGATCAGCAGGGTCATTGATCGCGTGACGCCAGCGCACTTTCCCGTCGTGAGGCACCACCAAGCCTTTGACGATATCAGTGTCAGCACCGGTAATGGGATGAAGAACTCTGTGGAAGCTGAGACCTGCCTTGTAGATCGACCTCTGACTGGACTTCAGCTTGTAATGAACGAGCATACGCTGCAGTGCTTCGGGGGTGACCGAAGCGGAGACATTGCGGAGGACAACCTCGACCGCCAGCGGGTTGGTAGATCTCTCCCTGACGAACGCCAGGTTGTCCGTGTGCTGCCAACAGAGCCTGACAAGCTTGCCGTTCACCCTCTGATAGTCCACCTCAAACTGACGTACTCCATGCGCGTCACCCTCCAACAGGAACGAGACTTGGAGTCTGCAGAAGCGGATCTTCGCGATGTAAGCCGGTTGCAGGATCTGAAACTTCGCGGAGTCAGCAGCGTCAGCAGAAAGAACGTTGCACCAGACCCGCTTCATCAGCACCTTGACCGTCGAGACCACCGAGGCAAGTTCCTGAGCGAGCATAAAAGGAATCAGCAGGATAGCCGTGTGACGCAGATTACAGAGCTCATCAGTCTTGAAGTCAATGTCGAGCTCGTCATCAGAATCGTCCTGAAGCTCATCTCCAAAAGCTGGAACTTCAGCCTTGCTTTCCGCAGAGAGACCAGAGGAGCCAGCCACCGTTGCGTCCTTGGTTGACGGGAGTTCCGTCTCATCCTTCAATCCTTCGCTGTCTGTGCCAACAGGTACCGTAGGCGTGACCACCAGCGGAGTATCCGGATCCGGCGTGATCTCCGTGACAGCCTTGCGGGAAGTCTTCGGAGGCATTGTGACGAGCAGAAGCTGTGGGAGAAGAGCCTTGCGAGAGCTGATTTGACTGAATGATGTTGAACAGCAGAAAACAAGCCGTTTAAGTAGGTAGATGCTGATGCAAGAGGACCAGCATTCAAGGAGCTGATGCTGAGTTTCCGAGGTGGAGAACCCAGAGTTGTGAAGTCCCAAGGTCTTGATAAGTTGTAAATAGCTAGGTGTATAACAACGATCGAGATATAAAGTAGTGAAGAAACTGACACGCCTTGGGATTAGTAGCTTAACCTGCAGAGCCTCGAGATTAGAAGCATGAAAATTGGAGAAGCCCGGAAACGAGTCCGATATGATGCCCGTTAAGAAGGCACGAAAGTTATACCGAACTGCGCACTGCGTTGAGCTGAATCCAGAAATGCCGTTCTTGTAATCGAAAGCCAAGAGAGCTCTTAGAGCGAACGAGTTAAGCGGATCGACAATATCCATGGCGGCCAGATCCAGATCCAGTTTTTCTACATAATCAGCCGTGTCAGCAGATCCAGATCCGCCGCCCTCGCGGCTCCTTCGTGTCGCGCTGCCTCGCGGCCCTTTCACGCCGCCCTCGCGGCCCTTTCTAGCCGCCCTCGCGGCCTCTTCAAGCCGCCCTCGCGACCCCCCCCTTCCTAGCCGTCCTCGCGGCCCCGTCGCCTACCCCTGCGGCCCCGGCGCCGCCCTTCCCTGCCTCGGCGCCGCCTCTGCTGGCCCCGTCGCCTACCCCTGCGGCCCCGACGCCGCTCCACCCAGCCCCGCCGCCGCTCCACCCGGCCCCGCCGCCGTCCCCACGCGGCCCCGCCGTCACCACCGAGCCGCCGGCGCCGCCGAGCTACTGCCGAGCCGCCCGATCCACCAGAGCCGCCCGAGCCGCCGCGCCACCTGAGCCGCCCGAGACGCCGGGTCGCCGAGCCGCCGAACTGCAGTTGCTGCTGAGCCGCCGTACCGCCGAGCCGCCCGAGCCGCCCGAGCCGCCGAGTCGCCGAGCCGCAGTTGCTGCCGAGCCGCCGTACCGCCGAGCCGCCCGAGCCGCCCGAGCCGCCGAGTTGCCGACCCGCCGAGCCGCTCGAGCCGCCCTGTCCGGTAAGAGCAGCGCCTCTGTCACTGCACTGCCCTTACCCTACTGTTCGCGCTGCTAGTCTACTGCTGTCATGGCTACCCCTAGTGTCCTCGCTTTTGACGCTGAGGGTCGGGCCATTGACTTTGACGTCTGGGTAGATGACCTGCAGCTTTTCCTACAGTGCGATAGGGCAGACGGTCTCTCCCTCTTTGATCTCACCTCTGGTGCCTCTCCTGCCCCTGCTGCTGATGCCGACGCCACTGTTCGCTCATAGTGGGCCACACGCGATGCTACTGCACGTCTTGCTGTGCGTCGCCACCTGCCTACCTCTGAGCATGCGCACTTTAGCCAGTACAAGAGTGCTCACACCTTGTACGACGCTGTAGTTGCGCGCTACTCCTCCCCTGCCACTGCTGCACTGAGCCGCCTCATGCTACCGTACCTCTTCCCTGACCTTGCTGCCTTTCCCACAGTCGCTGACCTCATTACGCACCTCCGCACTAGTGACACTCGCTACCGCGCTGCGCTTCCTGCTGAGTTCTGCGCCAAGAACCCCCCCCCCCATGTACATCACCCTCTACTACATAGTCACCCGGCTCCCTGACTCCCTTCGCATAGTCAGGGACCACTTCCTCTCAGTTTGCCCCACCACTCTCACCGTTGACCTCCTCGAGAAGGCCCTCCTAGCAACAGAGAAGAGCATAGTCGCTGTAGGAGCCTCTCGTGGTGACCCTCGCACCCCCGTCTTTGAGGGGTGTTCCCCCTCCCCCCTTTTGCCCTCTGTTGCCTCTGCTGCTGCGGCCGACCTCGTTGGTTTCGAGTCGGTCGGCGCTGCGTCTGCCCCGAGCGGGAGACGCCGCACCGGCAAGGGCAAGGGGGGCAAGGGTGCTGGAGGGGCTGGCGGGGGTGGCGGAGGTGGCGGTGGCGGCAGTGGAGGGGGTGGGGGTGGTGGTGGGAGTGGTGGCGGGGGTGGAGGTGTCGGTGGCGGCAGTGGAGGCGGAGGCGGCGGCGGCGGTGGCGGTGGGAGCGGAGGTGGCGGAGGTGGCGGCGGTGGAGGAGGCGGCGGCGGAGGAGGTGGATCTGGTCGGGGTGGCGCTGCGCAGAGGGTCGGCTCCGGTGGTGGTCAGCGCCAGCAGCAGCAGCAGCAGCGGCAGCAGTGCACTCGTGACATCCCCCCCCCTCAGCAGCTCCGTGAGTGGTACGCTGCACGCCAGCGGGGTGGGGGTACTGGTCCGTGCACCTACGTCCTACGCACCGGCGACCGCGCGGGTGAGCAGTGCGGGGGTGCGCACTCCACCCAGCGCTGCTTTGGCCGCCTGACGGACGCTTGGTGTCACCAGTTCCCTGAGGCCACTGAGATCCCCCGCTGGGGCGAGCTTTCTAGGGCGGGTGTAGCTGTCTTTGACCTTGACTTTGATGCTATTCTTGCTGCCATGTATGCTGTGACTATTAGTGATGAGGGTGACTGTTACCGGTGTTTTCCGCCCGACCCGGGCATTGAGACTGCTGCTCTAGGTACTGGTGAGGCTGCTGCTCTAGGTGCTAGCGAGGCTGCTGCTCTAGGTGCTCGTGCGTCTGCTCCCTCAGGTGCTGGTGAGTCTGCTCTCTCAGGTACTGCGTCGGCTTCGGCCTCCCACACCTTCACCCTTGACTCGGGGGCTTCTCGCTCCTTCTTTCGAGACCGCACCACACTCACGCCGCTTGGCCGGCCAGTTGCAGTCTCTCTGGCAGACCCCTCTGGGGGTCCTGTCCTTGCTCACTTCTCCACTGTCCTCCCGTGTCCGGCGGCCCCCTCTGGCACCCTGTCTGGTCTTTACCTCCCCTCGTTCTCTACGAACTTGGTGAGTGGTGCTGACCTACAGGATGCGGGGGTTCACCAGTTCACTCCTGCGAGTCAGCGGGTGACCCACTGCACGGACGCTCGGACAGGCCGACACCTGGCCACGTTTACACGTCGGCCGGGGTCGAGCCTGTACACACTGACCACTGCGTCTCCTCCAGTCACTGCGTCTGGTCAGGTAGCTGCGTCGGGTCAGGTGTTTGCTGCAGCGTCCAGGTCTGGTCCTGAGTCTGCCCCCTGTTCGTGTCGCCTCCTGTCGCACGAGACTCTCCTCTGGCACCACCGCCTTGGTCACCCCTCCCTGCTTCGTCTCCGAGGCATGGCCTCCCGTGTCCTTGTCTCTGGTCTTCCCCGGTCCCTCCCTCCCCTTCCTCCGGGGCCCGGCCCTACCTGCGTCCCTTGTGTCGAGGGGCGGCAGCGGGCTGCCCCTCACTCCTCCCAGTTTCCTCCGACAGAGGCCCCGCTGCAGACGCTTCACATGGACGTGTGGGGCCCGGCCCGCGTCCGTGGACAGGGTCACGAGCGCTACTTCCTGCTGGTGGTTGACGACTACTCGCGTTACACCACAGTCTTCCCCTTGCGCAGCAAGGGTGATGTCACTGAGGTGTTGATCGACTGGATCCGCGCAGCTCGTCTCCAGCTCAGGCAGAGCTTCGGCTCGGACTTTCCTGTTCTGCGTCTGCACTCTGACAGAGGTGGAGAGTTCTCCTCTGGCCTTCTGCGAGCCTACTGTCGTGCACGAGGCATCCGCCAGACCTTCACGCTTCCGGACTCTCCACAGCAAAATGGGATTGCTGAGCGCCGCATTGGCATGGTCATGGACGTCGCCCGTACGTCCATGATGCATGCGGCTGCCCCCCATTTTCTGTGGCCGTTTGCGGTTCGGTACGCGGCGCATCAGATCAACCTTCACCCCAGGGTCTCCATGCCGGAGACCTCCCCAGCTTTGCTGTGGACGGGGAAGGTTGGCGATGCGTCTGCGTTCCGTGTCTGGGGATCTCGGGCGTTTGTCCGCGACTTGTCTGCGGACAAGCTGTCCCCTCGTGCTGCTCCTTGCGTCTTCCTTGGCTTCCCCCCTGACGCGCCAGGGTGGCAGTTCTACCACCCCACCTCTCGCCGTGTTCTGTCCTCCCAGGACGTCACGTTTGACGAGTCGGTCCCCTACTACCGCCTCTTCCCCTACCGCACTCCGTCCCTCCCCCCGCCACCGCTCTTCCTTGTGCCAGGTCCCCCCCCGGTAGACCCCCTCCCCCCTCAGGGTCCTGCCCCTTCAGGTGTGTCCCAGGTAGACGCCGTCGAGCCTGTCGAGGTTACTGGTGACTCTGGTGCTGCTGAGGGTGCTGAGCCTGGGGGTGCTGACTCTGGGGGTGCTGAGCGTGTGGGTGCTACGCCTGGGGGTGCTGAGCCTGAGGGTGCTACTCCTGGGGGTGCTGAGCCTGGGGGTGCTGAGCCTGGGGGTGCTACTACTGGGGGTGCTGAGCCTGGGGGTGCTGAGCCTGGGGGTGCTACGCCTGGAGGTGCTGAGCCTGGGGGTGCGGAGCCTGAGGGAGCTGGGCCTGCTCGTGTGGCGTCTGGCAGTGCTGAGCCTGGAGGTTCTCCGGGTGCTTCGTCTCGGCGGGAGCCACTCTCTCCACAGGAGCTGCGCGAGTGGTTTGCCCGGCGCTGGAGGCGTGCTGCTGGAGCTGGAGGTTCTTCGGCTGCTGAGGGTGCTGGTGCCGCGGGTCCCGGAGGTGCTCGTACTGGGAGTACTGGAGCTGCTGGGCCTGCGGGTACGACTGGAGCTGGAGCTGCTGAGGGTGTTGGCACTGAGGCTACTGCTGTCGGTCCTGGAGGCGGTCCTGCTGGGGGTGCTACTGGTGCTGCTGGAGGTACTGGAGCTGGAGGTGCTGCTGGCGCTGGTGCTGCCGCTGGGGGTACTGGTGCTGTCCCTGCTGTGTCTGGAGTCGCCGCGCGGCCTCGGCCGTACTTTGTTCCGCTCCTTCAGCAGGTTCTTGGTCTCCTGCCTTCTACTGGTCCTCCTCCTCCCTTAGAGTGTCCACAGCCTGTCCCGTCACAGTTCCAGTTACAGCCGGCCTCCCCACTGCCCGCTCCTTC